CACTAATAGCATGCCGCCCTTATTTACAAATTAGTTTAGATTTTCGGCGGTTTTCTCATATGTACGAAAACCATGCCGCCGGAAGACGGTTTTCTTTTTCACAGTTACAAGGATCGCCGGCGGTCGGTTAGCCAGTGTGTTTTAATTTTCCAAATATATGGTAATTTTCAAAAAAATACTGATAACGATGAGACATTTTCCTTTTCTTCAAGTTTCAAAACTACAGCGATAAAAAATGGTTCTTGCCCTTCTGTTTCCTCTAATAAAATCTGGAAGCGATCAAATTCACTTTAAAATTGTATTCAGTAGAAGAGGTAGGTATATTAAATTTTGAATAATATACTCCTGGACAAAATTATCGCACCACTGCTTATGGTGCGTGGTGGTGCGATAATCTATATCAAGGTTGTTTGAAAAAGTTAGGTCGGCTGATAACTTTTATGACGTCATCTGGGATGCCTTATCCGCGTTTCATAACCTAACCAGATTTTAGGAGTAGTTAGGTTACGGAAAAACCAAGAATTTTGGTTAACTTAAGGCGGGCACAGACATGCGGTATTCGGCGAGTCTCGAATCACAAATATTTGCTATTCGGCAAGTAGCGATTAGTGTGTATGGGTTGCTCGGGCAATTATTCGCTATATTATGCCCGAGCCAGTGGCGTACCCAGAAAACACATATGGGGGGGGACAAGTCCACGGATGTGCGTCTACACGTAGACTTTCATTGTCTACTTTACGTGTAGACAATGTAGACAACGTGTCAACAATGTAAAATAATATAAATGACGTTTAATTCTAACCTCACACTTTCCTTTTTTTAATTTATTTTTATTTTTTTATTGGTTTTTCTGATATTTTATAATCAGTGAATGCTTGTATCGAAGTGATAGTGATATTATAGTAACTTTTGATATTTTTTTTCGAATTTTTTAAAATAAGTTATTGTTTACGCCGCATGTAGACAATGTGTAGACAAATGCACACGTAAACAATTCGAATTGTCTACGCGTAGACAATCAATTGTTTACGTTGACATTGTCTACAGGCACATCACTGGGGACAACAACAGCCCGCCGGAGCAAAGCCGGCGTAGCCGAAAAATTTTTAGGGGTGCCACGCCCAATTTTTGCTAAGGGCGGGTATTATAAACCTACTTTGAGAGTTAACTTAAAGTTAACTTCTGGAATTACATGTAATTCAAAAAGTTAACTTCAAGTTAACTGTCAAAGCAGTTTTATAATATCCGCCCTAAGAAGCCGTTAAAATCCTTAAAAGAACAAGGATTCATCGCCCTCTTAAACGGCAAATGGGGGGCCTCACCCCTGCTCCCTACTGCTCTGGTCTCGAAAATTAAACAAAGATTTGAATGTCACCTTATACCAATATTCTTGTGCTTCGTGATTTTTGGGGAAACTCCGTCACTTCCTGTAGAACCACTGTAGAACCACGTTGTTGCCACTGCTGGGACTTGGCTTGGAACGGCTTTCATTTTAACGATAACGTTAGGTGACTATTCGCATGACATACGACATTTTAGACTAGATGAGTTTATTTAAAACCTGATATGTATGTACATATATGATAGTGGTTTGATGTTATAAATTAAAAATTGACTTTTGTCTTGGGGCGGCATCTAAAAACTCCACAAAATACACAAAAAACAGTTTTTTGATGAAAAATATCACGGTTGTTTGAATTAGATTTAAGGAGCCAATTTTTTGGCATTGACCATGCATCTTTGCCATGCATTGACCGCCATTTTGTTTGGATTGCCCTATATTTTAATTTTTTTATTTTTCTTCCGTTTTGAACATTTGCGGTGAAAATGAGACAAGAGGTGAATGAATACTACATTTAATATTCCTGACAATTGCTTATTATAAATATATTTTTAAGAGAATACTCAGTATTGGAATAAACAACACAATTATACCCTATTCACTAAATGGTACCAATCTAAATAACGTCGATCAACAGAGTGATTTAGGCGTCATCATCAGCGCAGACCTCAAATGGGAACCACACATTCATAGGATAGTGAAAAAAGCAAACTCGTTCATTTATTGCATCCAAAAAGCATTTTCAGACCACTCAATGGACACCATATTGAAACTATATAAAACTTATATTAGGCCAAAACTTGAATATGGCGAAACAATATGGAACCCTTACATTGTAAAGGACATCGAGCTATTAGAAAAAGTTCAAAGACGTGTAACAAGAATACCACCAGAATTATCACAGTTAGACTATACCAGAAGACTACAAAGACTTAAATTGACAACTCTACGAGAAAGGCGTTTAAGAGGAGATCTTATTGAGACCTACAAAATTTTAAAACCATATTATAATGCTACTCTCAATATCTTCCATGCGAATGCAAACATACACCTTCGAGGACACAGCCAAAAACTGGAAAAAGAGAAGAACGCAAAACTACCCCGTAAAAACTTTTTGACAAATAGAATTGTCTATCATTGGAATGCATTATCGGAAAACACTGTGAGCGATCCAAGTATTAACTCATTCAAAAACAGACTAGATAATCAACGGGAAGTGCTGACTAGTGTGAAAATTCACTTCGGACTGTAAATGAACAAGCTGAATATTTTCAAAAGCCAAAAAAGAACCACGGAAATTATGACAACAGTTTTATCGGTCATAACCGTTTACTGTTGTAACTAAAAATAATAATAATAATAATAATAATAATAATAATAATAATAATATTCTATCATCTAGCATCCAAGCCAAACCAAAGCTGAACCGAAGCGTTCCACGCATAAACCGCATTTTCAGGAACCAGACTGTTACCATAGACGAACCGCTTCTTACCGATCGGTAACTATTCGGTAACTCTGGTTAAGATACGGAACGCCGCCGCCTAAAGTTCATTGACAAAATTAAAGAAAAATATTGCAAAGACATACGTTTAAAAAGCCATAGCAATATTTGATTGTTTTTTTTTTTGAAGACCCGATATTATCCATTCACAATCCGATGTTCGCAGGTACAGGTAAATTTATCACCTTTCAATGCTATTTGATAGGGAAAGGTGATAAATTTACCTGTACCTGCGGACATTGGATTGTGAATAGGATATACTAATAACCGAAAATAATTGAAAAAACATTCTTATTTTTCGCTTTGTAGATAAAACGTTGTACATCACACGTGCGTTTAAACCTGTGAATAATAACAAAACTCGTGCGATTAGAACGACGAGGTCGTAGACCGAGTCGTTCCAATCTATCACACTCGTTATTGTTTATAAATGCATTGCTCAAAGCGTAATCACGTGACCAGCGTATCAGAGTGCCAGAAATTTTAATAAACGAACAGTAAATTCAAGCTCGGAGAAATCATATCAAAATATCGAACGCACGAATACTCTCTCGACGTATTTACGAACGCGGAAAGTTCTCAGGTCGCAACGCTCGAAAGGGAATAAAGAACGCCATTATTTAACAATTTCGAGCGTACGGTGCGCACAGAGCACAGCTGTTGTATGGTCGAGATACTTCAAGCTTCACAAAACGTTTTTTATTTCAAGCTCGTTTTGTTCGATGATCAACTGACCTCTGTTCAGGGTAGCTCAAGCTCCACACGCTCCGCACTTCGAGGGAATGAACAAACGGACCTAACTGTATATTGTATATTTGTATAGACAGTCAACTGAGTCAACAGGCAATTTTTCGCGAGGATAATCAAGCATACTCGATTATGCTCAGATATGATGTGTCAATTGTGTCATACTCCCCTAACTCCCTTACCATCAAATTCTGGGAAACTCGAGGATCAAAAACAATTGACTTCTTTTGTGAGAACAGACCGAAAATCAACTTTTCTACATTTAAAATTGACGAGAAAACTAACTCATCACTAGCACAGCCTGAATCGCAAGCATTCCATCGAGGTCTGCGGGTGACGTCATCACTATAAGCTACTGATATTGCCGTCACTCGCAGGCCCCAAATTGGATGGGGTGGGAGTTAGGGGAGTATGACACACTTGACACATAATTAGATTTTGATTATCCTCGCGAAAAATTGCCTAAAGCTACATCCTCAATCAATCTGCTAGCGAAGTGGCACTTTGGCACGCGTGCTGAGAAATTGATACCCATCCTCAATGCTGTCAATTTTCAGTCTGCTCTACGTGTAGTACGGTCACGAACCGTACGTTCGGTATTTTGATCGGAGTTCTCCGAGCATAAATTTACCGTTCGTTTATTTAAAAAATGTACTCGGTGTAGGCTCATTCACGTTAGTTTATTAAAATTTCGAGCCCTCTGATACAGCGTTTAACTGCTCTGTGCGCTTGCTGGTCACGTGATTACAGCTCCGCTCTGCTCTTCGAGCAAAATACCGAACGCAAGGATAACCTAAATTAATTTTTAAACGTACTGCGCATGACATAAGTCGGCACGCATCGAAAAAGCTGGCAGCTTGCAAACTTCACTTCGGAGTCGACGTGCATGCCAGCACGGAATTAAATTGAGGATGCCAACGTTAAACAACATTTTCCTAGCTTGCGTGCCGAAGTGCCACTTCGCTACTAAATTGATTGAGGATGAGCCTTAACCAGACTATTTGTCTAAAAGCCTATTTTAAATTTAATTTGAATTCGAAAAATTTAACTTCAAATACTTTTTCCAAAAAAATGACAGCTCTGAAAACAAGGTACCTATACCCTACTTATATGATTTTGAATTGAGAAAAAGGCAAATAATCGAAAAATGCTGAATCCTAGATAATCGAACAAAGAATGTTTATGCCAATTCTGAAATGCCGTTTTTTTTTATTACCACAATAGAGATTCCGAAAAATCAGCCAGTCTGAGCAAAGCATTTTCAAAAAATGTTGTTCATTCAAACCGTCCGGCAGTTGGGGTGTCTCGAGCCGGAGCATGATGAAAACGCTTAACGTTTTCGAACGGGTTCTTTCATCCGCCAAAAATCAAAACGAAATTTTTGACTTTTACTTTTTTTTGAGGTTGTGGATTGTGGTTGTTTGATGATTGATGTATCAATTAATTTCATATAAATAATTAGTTTTTGGTTTACTTTGCTTTGTTTCGCTTGGAAATTTCTATATTCAAAGGTGATTTGTGATTTTATATCGGGTGAGTCCTAGCTGGTGACTTTGTCCTTTCGAATTTTGGGTTTGTCTTGTCAACAAAACTACAGTCGCAATTTTATGTCCCAGCATGCCAGCTGAACTCATATTCATGTTTTTTTCATATTTCAAGTAACAAAATACCATTATATTTTTATTTGTATTTCAGTTTGGCTTTCTTCTGTGTTTTTCCATATTCATCATTAAGTAATGAATGGATAGAAACTCAAGCGGAAACTATTAAAATAGGAGCAGCCCAGTAGAAAAAAAGCAAAAGACTATACCTGACTGAATATGGTAGGCTTCGGTGAATCTAGTCAACAGTCAACCACTAAGAACTTTCATAAAAGTGTTAGTGAAAATGTCTAGCAAGCTAAAGCGAAAAATAACAGTCAGTCTCAATACTCACAAAAGAAAGTCTCATCAGACGAAAGCACGTCCTAGTGTCTTCGATCGTTTGGGAATCAAGTCAGGAAATACCATACTCAAGGAGTTCTGTCATCCTTGGGCTCAGACAGGGTCTTGTCCTTACGGAAAAGGTATGTAATTTTTGTTGTGACTCATTTAGTATAAAAACAGTGAGAACTTGGTTTAAAATAACGATATTGAACAACTTATAGGCCAATCACTCTTCTACCAGTATTTTATCACCTTTACCATACTCACTACAATAGTAATGATGAGTTGTCCTGTTTGATCTTCCCGAGACCTTCGATTGTAGGCATGTAAATTCAATCAAATATTCAATTCAATGAAACACAAAAAACCTTTATTTTCACAAGTAGTTACACTTGGAGAATAATAAAACTGGTACATGCATTTTCCCGAGGGGTTGACCACTCGCCGCAATACATGTACGTTCAGTCCGCATTGCAATCACATTTTTCGCATTATATGGCATTATAATCAAATTCGCAGCATTTTCCTACATTTTCCACATTTTTATGCATTTTGCCACATTTTCAGGCATTTTGCCACATTTTGACGCATTTTGCTGCATTAATGCAGCATTTTCAATAATTTTGTGAAGACATTTTTTTAAATAATGCGAAAATGCAAAGTAGAGGGGAGAGGACTTGATACTCTTCTGATTCTGATATGGCGGACATCGAGCCGACATATTCATATTACACGCACTCACACAGTTTGACGTCGTTTGTAGATGTAGATGATTTTGTGTGCCGAGTTTTGTTTCATCAGGTTTGCCTCATTGAGGTAAGTATAATAAATACTTTTTATATGCATAAACTGTAAATAAGTGATACCTATTTACATTCAAATTTGTGTAGAAAAATTCTTCATATAGGCCTGGCTTAGCCAGCTCTTAGGGATTATTCTAGATGATGCATCAAAGTCGTTTGAAGTCATATCAATACCTTTAGCAATGGGACAATTTGGGGATAATGAATACGAAAATTTAAATTCCTTTGAGAAATCTAAGGAGACGACACCTAATGAAATGAATCTGGAAATGAAGGAAGAAGATGAATCAGAATAATTGAAGATCTAGAAAGTTGCGGGAAATTATTTGATAATATTAAATCCACCGACATAAAGGATGCCACTGACGCTCAAAGCATTAATCAGCACGATGGAGTTTTGGAATTAAAAATGAAGAGTAAACTAAAACTAGTAAAAAAATCCACATTATGTTGGGTTTTTGGTAAAAAAAATCGAAAGGTATCCACAGACATAATTTTTATGTATGTTCCAAGAGATGAACTTCAATATAGTGACATATTGGCTCTCTTGGAAATATCGTCACTGGAAAAAAGAAGATTGTATTTTGATCTATGCACATTGTTCAGAGTTTTGAACGGTTTAATTGTTTCACCGGCATTATTGCAACTAATTAATTTTAAGGTACCAACAAGACAAACTCGACAAAATATAACCTTTGGTGTATCCTCCCATGTAACAAATTATGGTTTTTATTCACCTATATCTAGAATATGCAGAGAAGCAAATAGGCTTCCACCTACTGTTGATTTTTTTAACTCCTCTTTCAATAAGTTTAAGATAGACATTAAGAATTACTTAAGTTTAATGTAAATGAATGTTATTGTAAATGGTCTTTGATCGTTAATAAATTATTATTATTATTATTATTATTATTATTTTAGATTTAGAGGTAAACCTGGCAACAAGGTAGGTACCTAAGCGAAAGAGTATTGAGAAAAAAAATACAAAAAGCAAAAAAAAAACCTAAAACCAAGTATAATGAAAGCGAGTCTAATAGTGAAACTGCTGAAGAGAGTGAAACTGTGATTTACGAAGAGAGCAAATGGAAGTGAGTGATAGTGAAAATGAAATGGAAGAACCTCGGGAAGAACTCTGTATAGAAATGGAAAAGTAGTACTGTGTACTATGATACATCATGGTATATTGGCAGAGTATTAGGTGTAGATGAATATATGAAAATATTCACCATTACATTTTTAAAATATGATTTAAATGGCTACATATGGCGTCGTAAAGAGGACATTCAAAGAGTTCAACGTGATTTTATTTTGCATGGGCCTATTAATATGACTGGAAATAGGCCATTTCATATTAAATAGGTACATAGAAAAAATTAAGATAGATCGCTCGTATAAAAATATTAAAAGGATGTAATTCTGAGAAGTAACAACAAATAAAGTGCAGTGACCTTGTATTAATATTATTTAATATTAAATTTCGAAGTGATCAATGTGAACATTTATCCGCATTATGCCAGATAATCAGGCCTATGATGTATCATTTTCTGTTATTTTAACAGCAACGTTAAGTTATCTGTCACTGTTTATTCTATACATCAAAATAGAGACAGATATGCTGTTGAGCTATAACGCAGCTGTTAAAATAACAGGAGAGGATACATCATAGGCCTGAATATGGCATTACCTTCACATTACGTCTAATTGCATAACATGTTTCAACATTTTTAGCATTTTTCCGCATTGTTCATTAATGCGCCGAATTATCCACATTATCCCACATTACCTTAAAATGCGAGATAATGCGGCAATACATGTACATATTTTCCAGAGTGGTCAACCCCTCGCATTTTCCTTTTGTGTTATATTGTGTAAATCGAGCTTTCTTGTCAACTCAAAAATGACAAAAAGAGTCAAGGCAGGGTTTTTAAATTTGATACCTAAAGTCTGTTTTTTTTTTAAAAGATAAAAGTCAAACTGACATTATGTTGGCAATACAATGTAAAATTGTCAATGATTTCAAATTTTTAATGTATAAAAGGCTTGTGTTGCCAACATAGTTACTAAATTTTTGACTTGGGGAATTATCTTTAAATAAAAAACAGATTTTAGGTAAAATCTGTTTTTTTTTTAAAGATAATTCCCCAAGTCAAAACTTAGTAACTATGTTGGCAACACAAGCCTTTTCTACATAAAAAATTTGAAAGCATTGACAATTTTACATTGTATTGCCAACATCATGTCATTTTGACTTTTATCTTTAAAAAAAAACAGACTTTATTTCCTCCTCAAAAATATGTGGTCTCTATAAGTTAGTTGAAGAATCAGTTGTAACCCTCGCAGTGGCGCAGCCAGGGGGCCAGCCCCCCCCCCCCAAGCCATCAGAGAAAAATAATAAAGATGAAGTAAACAAAAGCTGTAAACTGCTCATATCATAAAAAGCTTATGGGGTGTAAACCAAAAATACGTTTCTGGTTTATAATATGTGAAATAACTCCAAGAACAACATCGAAAACCTCGCCTTTCTGCCGGATTTCTATCAAAAGAGTCTTTAGTGTTTGCAACAAAACGTAGATGTGACGTCACATTCGCGTGTGGAGCCCAACAGATTCTGCTTTTGTGTATGTACCATCGTCACCAAAAGTATCTGCGACAAAAATAATGCATGATAATCTCCTGGACTAATTCTACCGTCATTCATTTCAATGCATTTGATTCATAGTTTGACAAATATTTGACAATAAAATTCATATAATATTACAAGAGCTAATCTGATGCTGTCCCAGTTACTTTCGGTGACAATGGGACATACTTTGGTTCAAAACCAAAGCCATGTTTCGTTTCAGCTATTTGACTCAATCCGTATTTAAGTGAGAATCGTAGGATTTTTTACTTTGAGTCTACGGTATCTGAGCAGTTGTGACGTCACGCTTCCACGGTTATTTTGCAAATTTCTCAAAAACCGTCAGGCATAAAATGGTACGGCTTGAAATATTATTCTTAGAATTTATTATACAGACATTTGGATTTATAGTTTACATTGCACCCCCTCTAAAGGATAGGTGGTCTGTGTAAACTAAACTCCTATAATTTTTTCTGCATGGCCCCCTCCAGACAAAATTTCTGACTGCGCCACTGAACCCTGAAGAAGTATAGGTCCTAATTTCGGTATTGTTCTCAGAAATAAGCTTCAATGTTTGAGATAAAATCTGATGTGCTCAAAGAAGGTGGCCTATACATGCAGGAGACCCTAACAGAGACATCACATATACTCAATTAAACATTAGTCAGGGTGACTCGATAAGTTGAGTTTTGTGTGCGTTACCGTATGCTTCCAACTCGATCTTATGTAGACTACTGTGCCATCATTTTTATTAAATGCTGCTTTATTATAGTACAGTATAACCAATGCAGAAATTATCACCACTCTCAAGCTGCCAAGATTCTGTAAGAACAAAAATATCAAATATCATAATATTTATGTTTGTATTCCTCGAGAAAAGAAGTTCAGTATCAGACTTATCAAATGATTCTTGACATTTTAAGCAGTGAGTCACCCCAATGTCTTCGTAGATTGGATACCTCTCCCATTGAGAATCATGTTGTCCTCAACACCCTTCACAGGATGGTTGGTTTGGGCAAGTATCAAATTTAGGAAATGGTTCTTGACACTTAAACCAGTAAGTCACCCCTCGAGTCACCCCAATGTCTTCATAGATTGGATACCTCTCCCATTGTTTATTCCAATATTATTATACCTAATTAATGAATCATCACTAAAATAGGAAAAAAAGGGACCAGGGTAATGTAAACAAGCTATTGTACCTTTCTTTTCTTATCTATTTTGTCATTCGGCAGTAGACAATTGTGGGGGAATAAGCTATTAAAAAAATATAATTACAAAGCTATGATCCTTAACTGCCCTTCAAATCAGAATTTTGGTAAGCTACTTCTAGTTGAGCATGTTTGGTATAGACTTTAAGCATTTGGCTGTAGATGTTTTCAATAACTTCCTCTTAACAATTGAAGTTGCGTTTCACTGATATCCAGGGCAACAAATCATGGATTGATTATTTCTTTTTGGTAATTGGTGTCCCCTAGGGAAGCCGTACGCCATAATAGGTTAGGATCTCATTTGTTACACGATTATACTATTCAAGGTAAGTGTAGCAATGGGGCACTACCAAATACCGGCGTGAAATGGTTGAATTATGATTTGCTGTTGGGTGTCAACTGCATGTGGTTCAAATCAAATCAAATCAAATAAGCTTTATTGTCAAAAAAACAAATAATGTCATAGACAAAGCAGGCCTTAAACCTAATAAAACAATTAAAATTATCTATTATCTATCTATCATAAAAAGGATAAAAATTTCAAAAAATGATCCACAACAATCGAAACCAACACAAAGAATTGTAAAAACTGAGGCAAAAACAAACAAAAAATAAAAATAAAACTTAGAAGTAGTCACGGACGTCAACTACCTATCACTCACATAATTATGTCACACAAATTAAATTAAAATGACGGTAAAAATATATATATATATATACATTATACGTGCGCTACAGGAATAAAACAATAAGCACAAATTACAAAAGTCAAATCATGAAAATAAAAATAAAAATAATAATAATAATGATATTGGCAGAGCCAATCAATTGATACAGTCAAAATCTATCATTCCAAAACTCAGTACAGTTATAATAAGCCCTCTCAATTAGTAACCTTTTCACCATCCCTTTAAATATTTTGTTGCTTTCCACTTGTCTTATTTCCACAGGTAAGTGATTAAATAATTTCCGACTATTGTATATAATAGAATTTTTAATTTGTGTCGAGGATGGTATTGGCAGTATTATATTATAAGTTTGCCTCATGTTATACAAACCTGTTGCATGCAAGCTATTTCTATATTTTTTATGAACTAGGCAAACTGTCTCTAAAATAAATAGACTGGGAAGTGTTAAAATTTTATGTCTTATGAACAAAGGTTTACATGAATCTCTCATTTTAGCTCCACTCAAATACCTTATGGCTCTTTTTTGCAGCACAAACACACTATCAAACAGCTGCGCAGAACATGTACCCCCAAAAACACAGTCCATATCTTAAGTGACTTTCTATGAGTGAGAAATATACATTTCTCACGGTCTGTGAATCAAGCTCTCCAGAGAGAACTCTCATTGCAAAGCAGTTGGAAGCAAGTTTTTTCCTAAGATTTTCTATGTGTGATTGGAATTTAAGTCTGCTATCAATGAGAAGCCCTAGAAATTTATTCTCATTGGTGCTCGACAAGGAAATGTCATCAAGTTTGATAGGTTCAAGTGTGCACCTAAAATGCATGACATTAGTTTTCGATATATTCAGTGTTAACTGATTAGCGTCAAACCACTGCTTGAGAGCAACTATGTCCCTATTTATTTTGTCACTCAAGAAACCCATACTAGTGTCGTGCCATAATATAGTTGCATCATCCGCAAACAATGTAAATTTCCCTGAGATGCCAAGATCAGTTATATCATTAACATAAATTAAAAACAATATTGGACCAAGAACAGACCCTTGAGGCACCCCATACTGTAATGTTCTCTGTCCAGAAACATCACGTCCAAAGCGAACACTTTGAGTCCTATCCTGCAAATAACTCTCAAACCATTTATAAGAGGATCCCCTAAATCCATAGGACTGCAGTTTCCACAGCAATATTCTGTGACTGACACAATCAAAAGCTTTCGTGAGATCACAGAACACCGCTGCGGCAACGTCATTGTCATTCAGTCTCAAGAAAAGTTCCTCGAGGAATGCAAATATTGCATCGGAAGTCCCCCTGGAAGCTCGAAATCCATATTGTTCGGGACTAAGAATCTTTTTTTCATTCAAAAATGAAACGATTCTTTTTTTTACTAGTTTCTCTACAATTTTTGATAGAGTCGGCAACAGGGCTATAGGTCTATAGTTTGAGGGATTTTGCTTATCGCCCGCTTTAAATATTGGGATTATATTGGCCCTTTTTAGACTGTTCGGAAAAAACCCATTTTGGAAAGAATTATTGATAGCATTCATTCAAGTGAATTCAGCCTAATGGGGCTATAATAGAATAGCTGAATGCTCTACTTTGCCAGGCATAATTGTTTCTGTTTTCCAGATAAAGTGTCAAGTGATCATGTTCTATATTGTAGCTGGAATGACCTTCCAAAGGAGGTATCCTCGGAGGTATCACATGGGGTAGTTTCTCATTATCGGAAAATCATTAGGGGGGCAAGCCTCCAAGACAGGAGGGGTAGGGGTTAGGCAATAAACACATTTGGTTTCTCTGATGTGTATTTCACACTTTTATGACAGAATTCTTTTGTCTAAGAGAAAGGTAGTCAAAATTACTACATAAGTAGTTTTAAAAATATGCTTATTTTTAAACACTGATATGTCAAAAACTAATCATACGATTTAAGATTTTGCTATAAGACTGTAAGAGGAAAGCAACGAGCTATCCAACGATGTGCAACATAGGGTAGGTTCGTATTCAAAAAAAAAATAAGTTAGGGTAACTTTCCTCTAACAGGTGAGGCGGGGTGAATCAAAAAGTGTCTTATTTTGATTCCCCCTCCAATCCTTCGCTACTTGAGATCTTCCTGATAGTATATTTTTCTAAGGGCTGGTTTATTCACCTTCTGATAAACTCTCAGGTAGCAATCTGATGGATAAAAACGCAATCTGTAAACTCATTGGTCGGCTAGTTATCCGCCAATCAATAGAATTATAGGACAGTAAATTTATCTTGCAGACAGTTACCAGCAAGTTTATCTGAAGAAGAATAAACAGGCCTAAGAGATATTCGCGATTGCTACTTTCCAAATTGTAACCCTGTATATGCTTGACACACAATTTAGTGTACCAGGCCGTGTCAATCATACCTGCCCGACCGACGATACTTATATTTCCTTGTGGGATTTTAAAGAGTGGCTTGTGCGGAACATATCGGTGAACTTGGTTTAGGCAAATTTGACTATTTACAATTTTTTTTTGAGGGTTTTGAAACAAACATTTTATTATACCTATCTTTTCCAAAAACTGCCCTTAGGATTATAAGTATTATAGATCTACAGGGTGTTAATAAATAGTGGGATCAAACTTCTAGGATAATTAGTACTCATTAAAATAAGAAAAAAGTTAATAGAAACATGGCAAATGCATGGTTTTCGAGATACAGGGTGTCAAACTTTGAAAAAATCGGTTTTTCAAAATCCGTTACCCGGATTTCTGTAAACTTGGCAGATTTGTGTGTAATAATAACAAAAGGTATCTTTGGTTCAATTAGATTCACCGTATTCCAGTGGCGCCCCAGAGGGCAACTATGTTGGTAAAAGTAGCATGTCACTATTTTTTTATAACTTTGATATTTTTTTCAGATGAAGGAACTCATATTACAGTCAAAAGATACCTTTTGTTATCACAAACAAACCTGCCAAATTTGAAAAAGAAAATTGGAAAAGGGATTTTTGAGGGAAAAAAACGAGTTTTTTTCAAACTTTGACACCCTGTATCTTGAAAACTAAGCATTCGCGGACCCATGTTTCTATCAACTTTTTTCTTATTTTAATAAGTACTATTTATCCTATAAGTTTGATCCCAGTATTCATTAACACCCTGTATAGTAGTTAAGTAGAAAATCGAGGGGTTCAGTTGAACCTAATTTGATTAAGATCGGAATGAAATTAACAAAGTGGTGAGGTAAAAAGTGTGCCAATGTCATCATTTCGAAAAAAAATAATATATATTTTTTCAAAAACTTAACGTTGAGGGATGTTTTTTATGAGGAAAATGCTTGAAGGGTTGAATTGTAATTTTTGAACGTGCAAAAAAAAAAATTGAAATTTGAGAAGAAAAAATCTTTTTGCTTCATCTCTTTCATTTTTTTTTTTTACTTTGAAGCGTTGCAGCTGCGAAACTAGAGTTGCATAGAACCTGTAAATTTCTACTTTTATATTTTTATTCCAAGCTCTTGAATTTATTTTTTTTCTATTTAGTGAAGGAAAACGTAAGGAAAATTCAAACGTCTGGAATAAACAAAAAATGAGAAACAGAGTGATGATGCCTCCTTCTTCTTGTGAACGGGACAAGGATTGTTTTGTTTGCGTTTAGGGATAATCCTTCGCCTTCGCTCCAATTTTTAACGATGTTTAGGGCTAAAAAATTTAGAGAAAGATGGATATGAGGAAAAAAGTAAAATAGACAGAGATAACAATTTAAAATAAAAAATTACAAAGGGAAGTTTGTTTGATTTTTTATCAGGATTATGAGATTATAGAATAGACATTAAAATGTTCTGTTCAAATTGGTATTAAAATTTAGAAGCAGTTATTTCGAATGTTATAAATACCCAAGTCAGGCAAAAACTCAACTTTACTTTTTCTGTGACTGACTTACACATTGTTCCAAGGAAATACGTATTCTATGTGCAAAACTGGACAAAAAATTGACTCACATCCCGATGTTACCATATCTAAAAAGTAAATTATTTCGAATTAATTCTATAGTTATTAGTTATGCATATTTCAGGTTGCAAATACTCTAATACGCACATCCTGATCAGTCCCTCTAAGCAGCGCGCAGCGAAAATCCAGTCGGTACCGAAGAAACGTCATGCCAAGGAGGGGCATAAGCGCATTCACGCTGCTGGTGAGCAACCGGAAAACTCGGATCAGTGGAATCCTGACGATCTAGAGGACGCCGATCCCGATGATCTTGAGAAAAAACGTCAAGAATTGCAACGGGAACTAGAATTACAAATGAAGATGGATCATAAAGCTAGAAAGGTAAAGTTGGCCTAGTTGAATTACTGCTATTTACCCACTGGATAAATTCTAGGTTTTTGCTTTTGGTGGGTTTTGGTTAAGCAGCAGCAACTTTTATATTATTGCGGGTATGGGGAAAAACTAGCAAAGCAAATAGTTCAACAATAAAAATTGGTTATCATTTTTCTCCTAGAACATCTGACTTTATTTTGTTCATTATTTATTTAAATTCTGGATTTTGAATTGCGAGCGAATAATCTTGGTGATTTTCAGAAGCAGAAGAGGAGTAAAAAGGTAAGCACTCCATCAAGCGAGTCCTCTTCGACTTCAACTGATTCAACTAGCAGCAGTGAAGCTTCGACTTCTTCAAGTTCTTCATCTCTTGAAACCAAACGCAAAAAATTGAAAAAGCTCAAAAGTAAGAGGGTTCCTTCTTCTAGTTCTGAGGAACGTGCTCGCAAACACAAGAAAATTAAGCATACTGCTAAATTAGCTTCACGTGATAAGTCTAAGAAGGGAAAATTGCATACGTGAGTGTATTATAATAATTATTGCTATATTCCTATATTGTTTTTGTTTTTTTAGCCCTAAAGTTGTTGTTAAATCTCCCTCACCAGTGAAAATTAGAAAAAAGAGCGAAACTCCTCCAATCAAAACAAAATTAATTCTTAAGAAAGACGCCTCTGAAGCAAAGTCTCCAAGACCTCAGAGTAGATCAAGTGATAGAAAAGAAAAGCATCGTACTCCAAGTCCGAAGAGTTCTAGAGAAAAAGAACGAGAACGAGAAAAGGAGAAGGAACGGGAGCGCGAAAGGGAGAGGGGTAAAAATAAAAAATTAAATCTGTTTAATAATTACATTATAATAAATGTATGTATTTCTTCATTTTCTCAGAAAAAGAACGTGAAAAGGAACGGGAAAAGGAGAAAGAACGGGAACGAGAAAGAGACAGGGAACGAGAAAGAGCAAAGCTGAGAGAAAAAGAACGCGAGCGTGAAAAGAGAAAGTCTAAATCGCCCAAGCGAGACAGCAGAGGCGGCAAGGATGCAAAGAGGCGTGAATCGCCAGATTCCAACCATTCAAAGGATAGAAAAAGTTCACCGAGTCGGTCCAAAGCTAGCAGTGGTACTTCAAAGAGAGACCGAACCTCAGAAAAAGGAGATAAAAGGGATGAAAGAGGAAGGTAATGAAATAATTATTATTTAAGTTACTAGTTGTACTTTTTGACGGAGACAGTAAATTTTGATTTGGTGAAGGTTTACATACAAAAAAATATAAATTTGGCCAATTTTCTGGAAGTTTCATCACAAATCAATAACCTGGAAAGACTACATCTTGCTGGTACTAAAGATACTTTACATAACTGTTACTCTTGATTCAGAAATTCCATTGAACTAATTCAAAATTAAAACCTGCAGAATCCAATTTCCTTAGACTGGATTTTTATAGCTTTTTTCAATGAGGAGTTTTACACCTTCAGCCTCGAATTCGTCTTATGATTCTCAAGGTGACATACAGTTTTTTGGGATCAGTTATTATATCATTTACCAGCTTCCAGCTTCTTAATGAATTTTCAGCAATTGGTTTTACTAATTTACTGATCAGGTTTTATATGGTTATTATTGTCTCTTGATTTTCACTTCTATTAAAATTATTTTAAATTTTTTCCTTTGAAGATCAAGAGATAGAAGCAGGACAACAGACAAGTCGCGAAAAGATAAACGAGATTCGAGAGAAAGAGAACGCGATCGCGATAGGGAAAAAAGGCTTCGAGAAGAAAGAGAAGCGGCCCGTGAAAAAGAAAGAGAAGAAGCTTTGGCCAGGTGTCAAGAGCGGCAACGAGAAAGAGAAAGACTCAAGGACTTGGAGAAGAAAGACACGGACAGAAGAGGAAGGGATAGGGTGCGAAGGGATGATAGGGGATTGGATAAACCAACAGGTAATATATTATCCGTTCACAATCCGATGTCCACAAGTGTAGGTAAAATTTATCACCTTTCAATGCTATTTGATAGGGAAAGGTGATAAATTTACCTGTACCTGTGGACATCGTTTTGTGAATAGGATATAGGTATAGGGTTTTCTCTTTTACTCGAGCTTTTACTATTGCTGCTGCAACCAAAAATTTGACCGAACTCATAAACTAAAAGATTCGTTGAAATAATAAGAGGAAAAAAATATTGATTGTCAAATTTTATCTACTGGAAAGTATAGTTTGCAAATCTACAATAAGTATGTGAAAGTTTGAGGAAAGTTTTAGAAAATTGAATCAGGTTCACAAAAGTTCCAAATGTCTTGAAATGTTATATAATAATATATGTATACTCCTAGACAAAATTATCGCACCACTGCACATAAGCATCGCCATAAACAGTGGTGCGATAATTTTGTCCAGGAGTATATACAGGGTGAGTTACTAAGCGCGCGGTGGTCCATATCTCCTATACTATCGGAGATCGGAGAAAAAACTAAATATAAAACTTGTAGATGAACATGGGTAGAGTCCGCGTCAGCAGTAAAGACTACGGTGACGAAATAAAAAGCTGCGCGAAGCGGGTCGGATCTCTCTCCCTCGTGTATCTCTCGCTGTCTGCCGTGACCTCAGCCATGAGCTGAAACCAGCAGCGGGGTATCTTTTTAGACAAAACTTGGATACAAAATAAACTAAATAAATATGCCTGCTGGCCGTACGACAATGAACCACGTGCTTGGCGTTCGGCAGCAGCACCGATCGATACGATAGTTCGGTTAGTCTTCAAAATTGGGATTGTGCGCATATGACGACACCGTACTCTTTAGTCTTGACGCGGACTCTACTACATTCCTAAATTATTTTCCAGTATACAGGATGGCCCAATAACTGGTAGTGACACAAAGTTATGCTTTTTTAAATGACTCCCCCTGTATATTATGACATTTCTGGATTCTGCGGAAAATTCTAGACATATTTCATGTACAATATTATATTACCTATCTTCAACTGTTTCGGAAATATTGACAGTTGAAAACTGAATTTTTTGCATCTTTGACAGACTGTAAAACCTAAACGGTTAATTTTACAAGAAAACGGATTTTACATTCCTATCTTAGTTTTTCATAAACTATCATTTGGCACCAATCTTGAATTTAATCCATGAGTAAAAATTCCGCCTAAATTATTAATCTTCGGTTAAATTCAAAGTTGGTGTCAAATGATAGCTTATGGAAATCTAAGACAGGAATGTAAAATCCGTTTTCCTCTAAAATTAATCATTTAGGTTTCACAGTCTGTATCAAAGATGCAAAACAATCCATTTTCAACTGTCAATATTTCCGAAACAGTTGAAGATAGGTATATGACATTATACATGAATATGTCTAGAATTTTCCGCAAAATCTAGAAACGTCATAATATACAGGGTGAGTCATTTGAAAAAACATAACTTTGTGTCACTACTAGTTATTGGGCCACCCTGTATACTGGAAAATAGTTTAGGAATGTAGTACTCATTTTTATCTACAAGTTTCGTATTTAGTTTCTTATCCGATCTCCGTTAGTATAGGAGATATGGACCACCGCGCGTAGTTAGTAACTCACCCTGTTTATACAGCAAAAAGTTGTGTTTTTAAATTTATGGATCTGGCAGCACTGGGTAAATCATAGTTGCGGTGTTGCCAAGTTATATATGAAAATTATTTTTCATACAGGGTGCTCGAAAATGTTTCCTAATTTCAGGAATAACTTGCTGAATTTTTGTAAATAAGACATAAGACAAGTCATATAGGATATTATTGTGTTGAAAATCGATTTGAGCATTCAATAACATTCAGAAAAACTTCTGAGAAAACACTCTTGCAGCTCTTAGGATTTCGTTTACCTAAAAATGAAAAGTTCCTAGAAGTTCAGTTGAGTTTTGAGAAGTTTAGAGAGTTACTAAAAGTTTGGGACAAAAGGTTTGGAAGTTGGAGATGTTTGCGAAGTTTTACAAATTGTTACCAGTGGTGTACCCGACCCTTTGTAATTTAACTTACCATGAAAATAGGCAAATACAGTAAACCCCCGATTGTCTGAGTCCGAGCTCTGGATTAAGCGAGCCAGTCTAAAGACCCAAAAATCCTGATTATCCGAGATACGCACGTTTATACTGCGTATTAACCGATTTTCTAGAATATACATATATTTTATGTAGATTCGGATTATCCGAGTTTTCAATTATCGGAGGTGGGTACCCCCCACGTTACCTTGAATAACCGGGGTTCTATTGTAGTTGGATTCTTAGGCAACACACCATTGTGCAAAAATTATGAAAGGGAAATAATCTTTTTCACAAACTTTGTGGACACTCTTCGTTTATATTATTAGGCCTTATCAGCAGTAAATATTGGCCACAAAGCTTGTGGATAAGATTTTTTCCTTTCAAAATTAATCTAACTGGACATGACACACCTGCAGTTTATCAGTTGTTTTAATGATAGATACCCTCATGACGCACTAAGAAAATGTTAAATGTTATAATGTATAACATATTAATCAACAGTTAACAATCAGAGTTTAAATGTGATCAAATTAATAAAAACAAATACATGCTTCACTGATGCATACATTTTTCTTTATTTTTTTGGGGTTCACAATTCTCAGGTGATAGAATCGAAAGACTTCTTCCTCTACCAGAAGATCGTGTACCACCAGGTCGTCGCCATTCGACTGACAGAGAACGCAGCCGTGGTCATTCAGTGGATACAAGAAAATCAACTAGAAACAGTCCAGATAGACATGAACATGATAGAGCTTATGACAGGGAGAGAGGCTACGATCGAGAACAAGAGGAGCGTGGTAGAGAATATGGAATGCCTGGTAGAATAAGGGAAGAGAGAAGGTACAGCCTACAATTTAAAAAAAATAACTTATTTGGACCTTTAAACCAAACGGTGAATAATCCTATTTTTATAGACTTGATGAAGGGCCTTTTGACAGAAATCGTCATGAAGATCGTCGCTACCTGGATATTGAAGGCCATTATAATGAAAGTTCAAGGGAGGAGAGAATTCCTTTGGAAGGACGAGAATATGTGGATGATAGGAGAGACATCAGAAGAGACATGTGGGAGATAAGAGAAGAACGAATAGATATGGAAAGGTAATAATTCACGTTCATATCAAGAAATATATTTAAGATTTTTTGCTGCAGAGATTTTGCTCCACGTGGCAGAGGATATGCTAGACCAGATGTGCGACCCCCAGGAGCAAAAGGTCGCGGAGAGTGGATTGAGCCAGAATACACCGACCGCGAATGGGATGGTAGGGGTAGAGGAAGAAGACCGATTGATTGGGAAAACAGAGAAGGTGGGGAAGTATTTACGTAATTATAATACTTGCCAATAAACAATTTACTTCTGTAGGTTGGGATGGACCACGTGGCCCAGAAGAAGAATGGCGTCATTTCGATCGCGGTATAGATAACTGGGCAGGAAATGATAACAGGCGAAGATGGCCGAATAATCGGAATAATGATTGGAGAGAAAATAGGGACAACAAGGAATCTAGGGAAAATAATTCAAGACCAAGAAGTGCTGCATCACATATTATTGAAAATACTGCTAATGGTAAGTACGTAACAATTGTGGAAGTTTTCTCAGGAGTTAGTAAGGTTGAAAAATAAAAATACCTGGAGTTTTTTTTCTCAAGTTTTGGAATTTATTTAGTATTTCACCATTGAGTAAAAAAGTGTTAAAGAAGTTTTAATTTCTTTGTCTTTGACACTTCTGTGCCTAATGTTGAAAAATATTAAATTCTAAAGAAAAACCCCAGCTATTTTTATTTTTCAGACTGAGTGAACGCCAAGAAAACCTTCACAGTATCAAAAACAGTCAAGATACTTACCACCTCCAGAAAGTAAGTAACAATATCACAATTAAATCCAATCAAATAAGAATTTATTGTTGTTGTTGGCAAAACATTTAAAAAACATGCACATTGCTGCATTGAACTCTGTTCAGTTGGCATTCCTAGTGGACAAAATATTATTAAGTCAAGATCATAGTTCAACGTACAAGCTCTTAGCCATTTTTTATCATGCCTCAAAATGTTTTAAATTATGTTTGAATTTTAGATGATAGCAATAGTGAGTCCCGAAAAAAGGAAGCTGTAACTACTAGCGTAACCAATGTGGAACAGGTTGCAGTCGATTCCACAAAACCAGAAACAGACTCTACGACTTCGATGAAGAGACCCGCAGAAGATTCTCCGGATGGCGTTGGTGAAATAAAAAAAACCAAATCAGATCCGGTGCCAGTATTGGAAGACGATTTGAGCGAAATTAGTGACGATGCTGATGATATTTTAAACAGAGATGAGGTAATTTTTTATTTAAAATATAATACATAATATGCAAAAATCTATAATTTCAGGATATACTTGATGAGGCCATAGAAGAACCAATAGAGTCTGCTCCTGTTGTAAATCTCGAAAGTCAACCAATTGTTTCAGCATCTGAAATAGTTCCTTCCGCCACAGCTTCACAAAAATCCCAATCGCCCGCTCAGTCTCCAGCTAAGAGCGCCCAAAAAGACGAATCCATTGATGATATGGATCTTGATTTCGAGGAAATATCTGAAGACGAACTAGATGAAGAGTCTAAAGTTAAGGGTATTGGAGATGCTTTGGGTGTCGATTGGGCTAGTTTGGTAGCAGAATCCCGCTCTAGGGTCAAACCAATGAGTTCAGCTAAACTGCGATGGGAACCGCATAATATTTTGGTTAATTTGGGTATATCTGTGAGGTTAGCTGGTGAAGATTTGGTCAAAGATATTCTCAAGCATCACGCCGAAGTGGATATGATCCAGGAAAAAGTAGAAGACAAGGGTAAAAATGATTCCTCAAGCAACAGTTTAGTGAACATCAATGGCATAAAGCAAGAAATCAAAGAGGAACCAGATGACGAATTCACAGAACCAATCAGCCTAGTGCCAAAAGAAGAACCTAAAACCGATACTGATGACCTCAACATTTCCCATCCGATTGCTGCCATTCAGGTGGCCAATCAAGAACACCAACAGATTCGTAAGACTTTATTCAGTAGCGTGGGTCTCCATAGAAGGGCTCTATCTGCCAGGCGTGATCTTATGATCAGAAGGCATTTGTGTAATTTGCCAATTAATGATACTTATGTGGAAGCGCCCAAAAGGCACGATCCCGAGTTGTTTAAAGCCGCTACTCAACTATTCGAAAGATGTTTATAGGATTTAACTACACATTATTCATTTATTATTGATAAGTTGTATTGGAACACAAAAATAAATATTTGGTAGAAAAAACAAATTGTGTTTTTACTTGCAAATTTAATACAAAAAATATCTCTTTATTAATCAACAATTAGGAAACAATGATAATAACTATTTTATGCACAATCCTTGAACAAGTAGCTTACATCTTCACCTATTTTCATTTCAACAGGCTCTTGATCTCTGAAAATGAAATCATTTATTGTATATTTTAATAGAGAAAAGAACCTATAATCAGGGGTTTGGGAATGATATTATGAGGGCAAGTGTTTATATAATATTAACTAGGTTTAGATTCAGCTCTGATATTTATCTTTAACTTTACATTTGCTCATAGTAACTTTCATAAAATGAGGCATCAACAAGTTCTGTAGGTAAATAATTAGCCTCTTTTCCTTGAAGAGGGTCGATTTATAAAACATTAGCAACATTGTTCCAATTACCTAACAAATAGTTTAGCTCCTGTGAAACCCTTCAAAACAGCATTATACCCTTCGACATGCAATAGAGCGCCCTCTCGCAGCCCTAAAACAGTGCATGAATCTTTTTCTTCAAGATATTGTCTAATTCTATCCTCTCTGGTTTCCCCTTTGTGTTTGGAATTTGGCTCGGCATCTATGTAATGTGGATTGATATTGAATGGAACAAGTTTTAATGCTTCGAAACTTGGCGGATATACGATGGGCATGTCGTTTGTTGTGTTGATACTTCTTGTAGCTACATTTGTACCTGCAATATATTTACTAAATGTCAGTCCTCGGAATGACCCATATTTATGTGAAAAAAAAAACTAACAGGGTGACTGTTGGTCCTTTGTATTTGTAACTCATTTATCCTCATATTGCAAATTCAAGATATTTCAGTTTTTGTGAAATTGAGAAATATCAAAAAATAAACTTACTTAATGACCAAAAAATACAAACACTGGTAAGTATAATATGATGTTCAAAAAAGTTACAAATATGCTTCCCCAAAGTGATACCTTCTCCCACTAGTAAGGGTTCATAATTGAGGGGTGTAGTTGCAAAAGTCACAATCTCCGTCATAAGCAGTTTCTGGAAAATCGCAAAAAACTTGTCGCTTAAAAACCTTACATTTTTTCTTAAAACTCATAATTTATTAAAAATCGGATAAAAAATTCGCTTTTCGATGGTATAAACCAAAATGCGATATTTTGAACATTTTCGAAAATTTTTCAAGGTTTTATTTGGAAAATGTGAGTTTTGCTGCATGCTTTTGTAAAATGTAAGTTTTGCAGCGAACAAATTTGAAAATCGATAATATGAGATCTGTTAAATCGGATGTTTTGCAGCGAAATCTTCGTTCAACCTTGAACTTAAACCTTTAAGTACTCTCCTATTAGGGGAGAATGTGATTTATGATATTTCGAGAATTACACATAAACGTGTTTCGGATATTGTGAGTTTTGTTGCGAATCATGACTTTCAGGATTTAATTTTTATGGGATATTCTCACTTTTACCGGAATTTTATATCACTATGTTCTAGAATTTAGATTTCTTTATATTCCAGTACCATTAACTCATTTTTGGTCAAAAGTGGATAATGTGAGTTCTGCAACTACACTCCTCGATTAAAACGTTACCTGCGCTTGCGCCCATATATGGTACACCCTCTTCTAATACTCTTGTCCTAATAGCAGTTACCAATTTAGTATCATATAAAGCTTTTAATAAACGAAACGTATTTCCACCACCAATGAAAATTGCTTCAGCTTTTTCTACTGCGTCAACTGGGTTTTCTTGGTTATGGATGCCCTCAACTTTGAATCCTAAAGTAAGAAACTGTTAGAAAAAGATATTGCATTATTTTTGGAAACTTACCCCATTGGTTCAGTGGTTTTTCCACTTTCTTCAGATAAGCATTGTGATCTTTAATAGCGAAGGGGACAAACAATACTGTAGAAACTTTATTCCTGAAATAAATAAAAAATAATATACAGAACCTTATTATTAACAAGAGTTTTTTTTTTAACCCTATTGCTTCTTTAGAGGAAAACTGAAATTATGTACAGGGTGTTCTATGTTTCAATGGGCTATATCAAAAACCAGCAGAGATATCAAAAAAAAAAAATAACAATGACGAAGACAAGTCACGGCTACAAGGCACATTTCAAATTTTGTCCAATTTTGAAAGGACTTCTAATTTCTTCATTAATTAGGATATCCAAAAACGAAAAATACTTTCTAGAAGCAGTTTTTCAAGTAGAATCTTGTGACATGCAGCTTCTTCTTCTACTAAAATCGGACATGGAAGCACCTCTGAAAATGCTAGCGAAACGTGCACTATCATTTCATGAACCCGAGAAAGCAATCTTCTGAACTTAACATATACCGAGCACCTTCATCGATTCTACCACTTGCTGTTAAATAATATTATTATTATTATTATTATTTTACAATACAAGGCGGCAAAGCAGCAGGTTTGTGAATGTTGATCTTCCTGGTAAGAACCCATGCTGAAAATCAGGTATTACTTGCTGTTTTAGTAAACAAGATGTTAGCTCATTCACTAGGATTTTCTCCATGCATTTGCAGAGTCAGGGTACGCTGGTGAGACTTATTGGTCTGTAATTTGATGGTTCCGGTTTGTCCCCCTTTTTAAAGATTGGTACAACTATTGATGATTTCCATATTTTTGGAATGGGAGCTCCTTTTATTAGAGAGTTTAGAATAGTGGCTATAGGATTGGCGATTTGGAGCAGTTTTTCAAAAAGAGGGATGGAATTTCATCAGGACCAGGACTAGACTCCGCCTTTAGAGAAGAAATGACCATTTGTACTTTTTCTGGGGTGAACTCTATATTACTTATCTCTGCAGAAATGCGTAGTTCAAGTGAAAGAGTTGGTAGGTTGTTATCTTCTTGAGTGAAAACTTTTTGGAACTGGTCTGCAAAGCAATAGGCAATTTCAGTCTCATCGAAAGTAGTCTGCTTCGTGTTAGTGTTTCTGACGCAAAATTTTGGAGACGGGAGTTTACGGGATGTTTTATATAGGAGTAAAATTTCTTAACAGGAGCTTGCAATAAATTCTGTTCATATTCTTGCCTAGCCTGGTTTAAGATCTGCTTCGTTATATTATTTTGTTGTTTGTATTGATCATAATATGTGTTTGTTTTCGTCCTTTTATACTTATCCCAAAATTTTCGTTTGATGTTGATTTGCTTCCCAGTTAAGCCAATGTTTCTTTGAAATGACATGTTTAGGTTTTCGGGGGACATGTAGCTCAATAGTTTTCGTCACTAAACTTATTAGATGTGTTGCATCAATTTGGCATGTGCAGGCATCTAACTGTTCAGTTATGTACTTGTTAATTTTATCATAATTTGCTTTCCAGAAATTTGTTTTATAGATCTTTTCAGTTGGCTTAGAAGCCAACTGAATCTGTGTTTTAGCTGTTATTACTACATGATCACTACGCCCTATTAGTGGATGTTGGTGTATACTGAATATTCAGCTTTTGTCATTAATCAGCAGTAGATCTAGTAATCAAATTTCATTATTTCTGTATCTTGTAGGAAACATTATTACCTGATGCGCGTTAGTGATTTGATAGCTGTTAAAGAAATCTTCTGAGCATTGATTGTGAGGGTAGACTGTAAGTTTATCCCAACTGATCTCTTTGTAATTGAAGTCTCCAAAAAGAAATGTTGTAATTTTTGACTCCAAGGCCTTTACTACTGTGGCGGTAAATTCTTTGTTTTGCTCTGGCGTTGTTGACGATTTGGGACGATATATGCAAGCTGTACAAAGGGAAAGGTGCTGATTGTAATTTCTAACCAAACTGCTTCTATTGGGTGCTCTGTTTTGTACAAGGTGCTTAATTTTGCTTGCGTTTGGTGAGCTGTATTTTTGACAAAAATGCAGATACCTCCTCCTGTTTGGTTATGCCTGTCTAAGCGAAACAATGTGTAATCAGGAAGATGAACAAAACTGTCAGGAAGATCTGGGCATAGCCATGACTCAGTTATTAATGCAATGGTTGGATTTATTTTGTTAATGCTAGCTTTAAATTGTAAATTTATCGACTTTTGGTACAACTGAACAGAGGTTGCTGTTCCAGAAGGAGACTTCAAATTCAGTTTGAGAATTTAGTTTTTTCAAGCTGCCCTAGTAGAAGCTTTCACAATCTTTGGAATATGATTTCTGGAGTATCCCAGGGGTCCATTCTTGGTCCCCTGCTTTTTGTTATCTATACATCTGATATCTTCTCGGTGGTCTCAAACTCTCATTTGCAAGCATATGCCGACGACACCCAGCTTCTATTAAATTTTGATCCCTTATACCCTGAAAATGCTGCAATGGAGTTAAACCAGGAGTTGGAGAGAGTTGTAAAGTTTTCCACAGAACATAATCTTAATATTAACTCTAAAAAGACAGAAGTTCTCCTTTTCTGTTCCGAAAGACTATGAGACTTTCTGAGTGATCGTTTGAAAATACAGATTGGCACTGATGTTCTTGGTTTTTCCAACTGTGCCAAAAATCTGAGATTACACCTGGATGTTCATCCAAGGTTTCATAAACATGTACAAAGTTTGCTGCCAAATAGTTATATTAAGATGAAGCTCCTATATACAAGCAGGTACATACTTAATTTTAAAATGAGAAAAAAATTGTGTGAAGCACTTGTATTATCAATTTTTAACTATTGTTTTATAGTCTACTATCCATTCCTAGATTTAGTTACTAAAAAAAGAATCCAATATGTACAAAATACATGTTGTAGGTTTGTTTTTAGTTTAAGGAAATATGATTCTGTGTCAGTTAATATTAAACGGATTGGTTGGTTGAAATGTGATAATATGTATAAATTATATTCATTGATTTTCTTTAAAAAATTATTAGATTGTAAGGAGCCTGTATATTTGTATAAAAAAATAGAGCGTAGGGCTGATGCACATAATGTTCATAGTTTAAACTTAGGAAATGGTACAAACTTCCACAGTGCCTAAACACAGAACTTCGCTATTTCAGAGAAGTTTCTCTTATTGTATGGTAAAACTGTTGAAGTCAGTTAATTTGCCATTTAGAGAATACAGTGTATATAAACTGAGACTAGAATATAATAGCGATTGTTACAAAATAGCTAATGTTACCTATATAGATGATAGATGCTACAATACTTGTTATTTTTGTTTTACCTTTAAAATGTTGGCCCAATGTGGGGCGCAGATGGTTGAGTGGAAGAATGGCCATTGGCTAAACTTCGCCACCTGTGTTCTGTATGCGTGAATCATATATTATATATTATGAATGTATGAATATGCAAATCAAATCAAATCAAAAATATGCTTTATTGTTGTAAAAAAATAAATCCATTGACAAAGCCAGTAATTCCTAAACCTAAACTTTCAAAATAAAAATAGCATAACATTAAACGAGGTAGGGATATATAGAGTTATACAGATGAAACCGAAAACAACAAAACTACCATCCAAACATCTTCAAAGGGACAACAAAACAAAATAGGAACATCTTTTGGCATGGTAAGGTTAAAAAAATAAAAATACATTACAATTAAAATTATACACACTGATTACACTTAGTTGTTGATTAAAATACGTACCTAAAAATAAAGACGTTTATTATTATTATTATTATTATTACATATTATTATTATTATATTGTTTTGGTATTTTATAGTTGAGTCTATCTCACCTTCAGCTTTTCTGGTTTCTAACTCTGATATTACTGTTTTTAGGTAGGTACTTACGTTGACTAGGATTGAGGTCAGTTTTAAATTATGGATAACTATTTTCGTTTTCGTGTGATATAAAAACTGTTTAGTATTTAGGAAAAAAAAAAAGTACATTTAAGTATTAGCTTTGTCAATAAGTTTAAGTACTTCGAACAATTAAGCCCAGTTCTATTCTATTCAAGGTCGTATTTGATATGTGTCACTTTGCTCTAGTTAACTTTTCAGTCTAAGCACCTGTAGGGCATCTTCCTTGGTTGGGAATGTGGCTCTTATAGGTCTTTTCTTATTTGCTTCGTACCTTCCAATTCGAGTTGTTTTAATTTTTGCTGGTTCAGTTAAGCTGTTTATTTTACGTACTTATTATGCTTTTTCTAAATCAAAAGGTGATTTCTGTTCTGGATCAGGTGAGTTTGACTCTTCCACTCCAAAGATAAGAATGTTTTGAGCTCTGCATTCATGATCTTGCATTTCTTGGATTACTGGCTCAAGTTCAAGCTTGGTTGGAGAAGCAGTTTGCTGCTGAAATTTGTCTTCCAGTTTCTGTACTTGATTTTTGAGGTGATTTGTCTCTGAAACAACTTGGGCGTAGGAGCTGGGGGAAGTGGGGGGGGGGGGGGGGGGTGTTGACTCATTCATCTTTTCCTTAAGATTCTTTAACTCTAATATTACCTCCTTTAGTTACTGTTGAATAGCAAGCACATCATGAAGGGCATTTTTTACTGTAGCCCTGCATTCCTGACAGTAGTGCATGACGATTCGATTTGTGTTAATAATACATAATAATAAACTAGAATTCATTATAGTATCAGTCCTATTATGCTTTGGTCTTCAGATAAATCTAAATGATTGTTTTTTATTTCAACTTGTAGTAGGCCTGGGCCCAGATTCTCAACCCACGATTCGATAGTATCGTCCATATAAAATATATAGACGATACTATCAAATCGTGGGTTTGGAATCCTGGCCCTTGGTAGTAGGAATTCAATTATCAAAAACATGAATAATAAATACGAGGGATTTTTGAAGATTTTTGATATTACTAATAGTGTGATGTCATTGCTGATAGTAGATACCTAAGTATGCTTTGATTCAAAAAACAAAAAAATGCATGTATCACATATCAATATTATCAATACCTACTTACTTGCTTAAGAAATCTGTAATATCCCGTGATGCAAACTCTAGAAATTCATATCCATGCAGTTGTGAGGAAGATAATAGTAAAAGCTGCCTCTTTGCCATTTCAACAATATCAGTGAGCCAGGCCTACTCAACAATACAGATCCTCAACTTTCATTTGAATTTAAACAAAACCCTAGATAAAACTTTTGATCAAAGTATGGGATGAAGTGATTTTTACAATCACATCTAAACTTTTTAATAGGTTACCGATAAATGATAAGATAGTTGTAAATAATGTTGTTTAAATTAATAAATTAAAGATTATAGATTTTGGTTTGTTTTGTTGTTTTGGTTATGTTTTCGTGTTTTTTCTTCTTGTCAACTTTTAGGCATCTTTTAGGCGTTTACGAAAACTAACCCGGGGTGAACTCGATCTCCCAAAGGGCGTTCGAAAATGGATCGAGTAAACCAGTGAATACTACCCGCCCTAAGGGTGGGTATTATAAAACTACTTTGAGAGTTAACTTAAAGTTAACTTCTGGAATTACATGTAATTCAAAAAGTTAACTTCAAGTTAACTGTCAAAGCAGTTTTATAATACCCGCCCTAAATCAGCTGATCGCTTTTGAGATTTTTTTTTTCCAATTAAAGTTAGAATCAGAAAAGAAAAGAACACTTATTGACACCTATACAGAAGAGGAGTTCAACATCCTCCCCACAGAGGAGGATTATCTCAATATTTTAGCTGGATGTAAAAAAATGGGAATAAGGATATATTGTTTATTCGACTGGACACGTTCGAAAAGTATAACTCGGGTCGGGTAAACCTAGGAACAGCTGATTGGATCTACCCTACCATTTTAGATTACTTTTCGTAATCGCCTTTTGTGTCTAATGGCCGTTTGCACCGACCATTTTAAGGAAGCCTTAGCGATAAGTATTCCTTTAAAGTGACATTTCTCCATGTAAAAATGTCAGTTTAAGCGTGATTGGTTTAAGGAATACTTATCGCTAAGGCTTCCTTAAAATGGTCGGTGCAAACGGCCATAAAACAATTAAGACCTGACAGTGTCATCCCGAGAGTTTTCCAGACAAGAATAATGCACACTAACCACAACTGTCTACACTACTACTACAGGATAGCCTATTCTCATAAGGCCTGTGTAGAACAAATCTGGAGTCCCCACCACGCCAAATCACCAGTTGTGACGTAAACAGCATGTCCTTTCTCACACTACAGACCTTGCGTTCGGTATTTTGCTCAAAGAGCGGAGCGTGCTGAAGCGGAGCCATAATCACGTGACCAGCGAGCGCACAGACCAGTTAAACGCTATATCAGAGAGCTAGGAATTTCAATTAACCTTGCGTTCGGTATTTTGCTCAAAAAGCAGAGCGTGCTGAGCGGAGCCGTAATCACGTGACCAGTTGAGCGCACAGAGCAGTTGAACGCTGTTTAAAAGTGCCAGAAATTTTAATAAACGAACGCGAATGAGGCTGCACACGAGTACACTTTTTAAATAAACGAACGGTAAAGTCAAGCTCGGAGAACTCGGACCAAAATAACGAACGCACGGTAAATAACGCGAATGAGCCTGCACCGAGCACACTTTTTAAATAAACGAACGGTAATTTCAAGCTTGGAGAACTATCAAAATATCGAACGCACGGAGAGGCATATTTGTTTAGAATGATCTGTTTTAGCTTTATTGAAAAAAAAAATAGACTTTAGAATAATCATTATTCTACCTCAATGCTATTTATCGATTTATTTCTAGAGAATACGAGAATACCGGCCCCTGATCGATCCAACTTGCCGCAAGTGATATGATCCGTGTTTGATTGAGAACCGTTCAGTATCCCCACTACCACTGTACTGATCCGAGAGGAGCTCTAAGTGATCCGACTATTTTGCGGTTCAATTTTGTTCATTTCAAGTGAATCTAATAGCGCATTTCATTGGTAGAGCAAGTGCAACATTGGTACAATATTCGTGATCCATTGGCCGAGTCCGCGCTGCCCTTTTGTATTTCATTGGGAAAGCTGAGTGCTGAGTACCGGTGGTGCGTCACCGGCTAAAAAGCTAGTGTCGCACTCAGTGCAGATGTTTATTGTTATTTTTGAAATTGAGGCTATTGGCGATTGATGTTTTTTTTCAAAAAAACAGTCCCAAGTTTTATTTTTTTTCATAGTGTTTTTTATATTTGCGAATCTACTACCAAAAATGTCAAAAATCGCCTGTTAATGGCAATTGCCTTGATCGAAAGTAGCAACAGCAGTGAAACCAGTGAATATGAAGAATATTTAAGGCTTCTAGGAGAGAGGGAAGATTTAAAAAAAAAAAAACTCTATAAGGTGGGTTCGGCTTACTCACTCCGTGCACTCCGAGTGACTCCATTCGCACTCCAGCCGTCCGGGTTGAGGTTCGAGTATTGCTTACGTATAAGGGATGGTGCAGTATGATATTTCACTGGGAACAAAAATAATCCTACTCCGGACTAGGATTATCTTTGAATGGGGGTTATTAGCTGTATTCATTTCAAGAGTTCAAAGCACTGGAGCTACTCGTTGTGGTATTAGTCGCGGTGCAACCAATGGTGCAACAAACACTTTTCGAAAGGAATAAGCGCGTAAAGCCCTGGAACTGTTTTGGAGCTGCTCCTAGGTGTGAAAGGAATACAACTATTAGGACTGCACGCGTGCAGTTTTTTTACGGCATTGGATAGAGGTCGGATTTCTAGTGTTCATATTAAAGATCCGATAATTTTCGGATTTTCAATTTGTATATTAGGGGTCCGAAAATGCGGATCTTTAGTAATAATTGAAGATCCGAAAATAGATGTTTATTTCTAATTCTGTCTAATTAAGGAATATTATCGTCGCAAGTATCTACAAAGAATAATATTCGAGATAAGTCTGTTTCTGCAGAAATCACAAACCAGTCAGAGTGAATTTCATTGGTTGAAACTAATTTTCTGACTGTTTTGGACTATTTTTAACCAATAAAATTTGCTCTGACTGGTTTGTGATTTCTACACAGAAACAGACTTATCTGGAATATTATTCTTTGCTAATATTTGCAACGCCATTTTAATGGAACTAGCCCAAGAACCAAATACTACTGCACAAAATCAATTAGAAGAAAAAATAAAAAGTATTAAATTTCCTTTAAAACTTGCCCATAAAGGAAAACCCAAGGAACATCAATTAACTGCATTTGAACTAAAAAAGGTCAAAGAAAAATAAAAGTGTTTTATTCAAAAATGAAGTTCCTAAACTGAGGCACCAGATAATGCTTAATGCAATTTTAAATATAGAAGATTTGGAAAGAAAACATTCCTCATCATCAACAAATTGATCTACTTCTTCTTGAAGAAGAAATATCTTTAGCAAAAATAGAAGCAATGTTTGTCAGGATTCTTATGTTTTATTACAAAAACGAATTGAAAAAAAAAACCAAATAGTATTCTAAAATGGATTTGTGATATATTATTATGTAACAAAGTGATACATGAAGATTGCTTACGATGGTGTGATTCATGTCTTCGGTGTGCTGTTCAGTAACAAAGCTGCCTTCTAGTGAGAAAGCCTGGTTTTGCATGCAGTGCAGAAGGAACTTAATCACACCTCTCACTCTATCAACCCTTAAAATAAACAAATATTTATTTTTATTTATGTATAGTGTTTTGAAAGAAAAAAGGTAGGTACTTAGTTTTGTTTTTTGTACTTTTTTGTTTGAAATTGCACCAACCAAATATTTTTGAGTAAACTTGATTAGCTATTCTGCATAAAAAAGATTTAGAGGATCCATTTTTTCTAGTATCAATCCTAAAAAATATAAGCAAATTTTATAATATTCCTTAATTACGACAGAATTAGAAATAAACATCTATTTTCGGATTTTATTACCACTAAAGATCCGCATTTTCGGACCCCTAATATACTAATTGAAAATCCGAAAATTATCGGATCTTTAGTATGAACACTAGAGATCCGAATTTTCGGACCTCTATCCAGTGCCTTTTTTTAAGTGTCAGTGCAAAACGTGTGTTCCACTTGCTCTACCAATGAAATACTCTCTCAAACAAATAAGCCTCCGGCTGTTACCGAACCCAGCCTGGGGTTGTATGGCCAGTATGCACATAAGTTTTAATTCTTTCACACCTAGAAGGAGCTCCGGAACAGCTCCGGGTCGTTACGCGCTTAGTACTTTCGAAAAGTGTTTTTTGCACCTGAAGTGTTCAATCAAACCATTATAAATGCACGAAAGCCAGCGCATCTGCCCGGTATTCTTGTTCTCGAAAACGCTCACTGCTTTTTATTCGCTCGACCCTTCTAATGTAAGTTTACATTAAAATTGCCGAGCAACTGAAAAACGGTGAGCGTTTTTGAGAACCAGAATAACGGCCCAGAGAACCTAAATGAAAACGCTTTACGTTTTCGAACGCGTTCCTTGAATAATTGTCAAAAAAATTGACAATACAATTTGACAGATTGAAAGGAAATAAATAAACATATTTTTTAAAGTTTTCAATTTTCCCAAATTGGCCTATACTAGTGGATGAATGCCGGATACTGAAAAAGTGGTAAACTAATAATATTGAAATGCTTACTAGAGTGTAGAGAATTTTTTTTAGTAGCATTTCCCCAAGACTTCTCCAACTGCTTCCTGCCTGACCGATAATATTTGTGAATATTCCAGGACATCTCAGATCCAGAGGTGATTAGTAAAAGAAGTAAAAGTATTTGCCATTAATAATATTAAATAAAATGTTCTAGGTTAATTCAAAATAAACTTAATCATGTCTGATCTACGCAAATCTGCACTAAACTTTTCTCAAAAAAAGCCAGTCCTACCTAGTTCTGTAATAAAACACGATTTTGCCCCAATCAAATGGCAAAAATATTTTGATAAAGAGGAATTCATTAAAACAGCTTCAGGTGAACATCATATTTACATAAAAGGACACGAAGGACCTATTATACTATGTCTACACGGTGGCGGGTATAATGGATTAACTTGGTCGCTGTTTGCAAAAGAATTATATGCAAATCTGGAATGTCAGATAGTTGCAATCGACTTTCGAGGTCACGGAAATACAAAAACTCTGGACGATTCAGATTTATCTTTAGAAACGATGACGCAAGATGTAGCTGATATAGCAAATATCCTTGCTGAACGTGAGAAAACGGCAGTTGTGTTAATTGGACACAGCATGGGAGGAGCAGTTGCAGTGAATGCATCTTACAATATTAGCAATTTGGCTGGATTGTGTGTTATTGATGTAGTTGAGGGTAAGTGTTTGTGCCTACTTTGTACATTATTTACCAGGGTCGTTTGTCGTTTCACTCTTGAAATACATGTAGGTACTGGTACTACATGTACATAATTTCCGTCCAAAATCTCTTTGCAATCGCAGAAGTTACTATCAAAATCTGGTAATCGCTTCCAAAGTTTTGCATTTGGTAGGGCGAAATCGAGATATATCACATCCATTTGCTCGTTATTGTCAAAGTCCCTTGTCCAATGTTTTTGTTTTTTTAATTTTCAAATCATCTTCCTTTGTTTCAAACATTCAAGCATTATAGGCCTAACCTTATTTTCATCATATCCTCCCAGTCTGTACAATTTGCCATTTTTAGGGGTACAGATTCATCTAGTGAGTTAATTATTGATACAGCCCCGACCTCCTCTTTTATATTCCGTTCTCCTTCTGACAACGTTGACGAATCCTACTGACTGCGCCAATGTAAGAATTCGATGTAACAAATTAACTTTTCAGAAACCTTCAGTACCTACTTCAAACTCACATAGATTCAAGAATAAATAACAACTAGACTTAACGAACCTGAATAGTCCACTCATTTCTGACTAAACCAATCAATTTTTCACATTATTGAAAAAATATAAAAAGTTACAACTCGCAAGCTTTTCTTGTTGTAACAATCTAGATTCAACCATTCTGTAAGTAATATGATACTAAGTCTAGACCCTTTTGTCTCTAGGTACCGCTCTTGATGCATTATCTTCGATGCAAAGTATCTTGAGGGGCCGTCCTTCCCACTTCAAGAGTATACCGCATGCGATTCAGTGGTGCTACAAAGGCGGACAGTGTCATAATTTAGAAGCAGCTAGAGTTTCAATGCCAGGACAAATTGTGAACATAAAAACAGGACAATTAGCTTGTGATGAATGGGAAACATTTGACAAAATCGATGGAATGAATCTTCCAACTGCATCTGTTAGCCAGCTAAGAGCATCCAAATTTACACTCAGAGAAGAAGATGAAGAAGGATCGGATACTGAAAAACCTGATGAAGAAAACATATTCAAAATTCCCAAATCGAATGTGCACATAGGTGATGATGCTGGTTCACATCCGTCTTACTCTTGGAAAATTGATTTGAGCAAAACCGAACCCTTTTGGCAACATTGGTTCCAGAATTTATCAGACAAATTCTTGAATGCCAAAGTGCCACGGATTTTGGTTTTGGCCAATATCCACGGGCTGGACACTAAACTTACTGTCGGACAAATGCAAGGCAAATTCCAATTGCAAGTGTTAGCCAAATGTGGTCACGCTGTTCAAGAGGATCAACCTCATCATGTAGCGGAAATACTTAGTATTTATTTAGTGAAACAAAAGTGTGCAGAGGCAAAGTCAGGATTTTCTATGCCTCTTTATCCTAATACAAACTGTTAGGAACTGGAGTTTATAGACATAAGACTAGGTTTAAGGTTGGAAGTTGATGCAGTGTGTAAAAATAATCCCAAAGGGCAAACGTTGAGGGCGGAGAATTTTATTCCACTAGGAACAACTTCCCCATGAAGAAAATATGAAAATTGGGTTGGAAAATGAGCGAGCAAACAATATTAAGTATGTCTGATGAGGTTTAGGGGGATGAGAATGATCTCAAGAAACATTTCATTCATCATTACAATAAAATACAAAAACTATAATGTTTTTGAAGATTCTCAACCCTCAATATGGAATAGGGTGTTTTATCTGTCTGAATGATAGAAAGTTGCAAAATTGTTGTATGTATAGAATCTGAGATAATAGCCGAATCTATTTATCCCCACTATATGGATGAATCTGTGGAAAAATCCATTTTTTGAATGATATCTGATACCTGCGATCAGGAAAGAGAAATTGCAGCCGATATAGTTGGGGCCAATATTTTTCAGATCCTCTTATAACTTCTAACACATAGAAAATGCAAATTTTTGGTCAGTTAAGTATTAATTGCCTCAGATTCTTACTTACCATTGGGCCTCTATCAAAATTGGTTCTAAATTCACATTTAACCCCCTCAGAATTACGCTTTAGCAAGCCGTGAGGACAATTTTTCAGTCTTCAATTTACAAAGGACAGGAGTGAAAATACACACAAAAAATTCACAAACTTGTGGTTTGAGTCCTAGTGAGTCACATCTGAAAGATAGTTTCCAAATGGTAACCTTGGTGGGAGCTTGTGTGTGAATTGTTTCTAATATATAAAAATGTTTTGGGAATATTTGAAGCTTGTGGCACAATTTATGCATTGTCAGATACGGTCAGGATTTTGTAATTTAGAAAACTGTTCTTTAGTTTTCAAGAAAAAAGCATGAAGTGACTTTTTTAAAAGTAGAATTGTACAATAAGCTGCTTGCAAACAGAATGGTTTCGAGTCTTATTTTCTCTTTCTCATTTTTTTAAAATTTAATTCAGAAAGTAGACAATGTAGGTTAGGTGAGCCAGGTTTGCCAGATTACAGTTTATAAGCAAAAGATATATTTTTACTACTGCTCAGAATAGTCTATGGTTTAAAGTTTCCAGAAATGCTTTTTATAGAACATGTATTGGTTACATTAGACTTATTCATTGGCCGCCGAAAATTCGAAAGTTCTCATGAAAATACATACTTTTATAAAGTTTTTCAAATTGTGTCAAGTCCTGGAGAAAGTTTACTTGGCAACTTGTAAATATAGTTAAGAAAATAAATAGTATAATTTATTTTATCTAGGAAAAAAAGTTATAAGATTGTGCAGTGCAGTTTCTTTGGGTTTATTTAGTAAATGGCATCAATAGGTATATGTTTTAAAAAAACCTCATTTACCAAATTTTTTTGGAAGAAGTTGAATATTTTATATATGTATAGTATTTTTAATACCTATTAGGAAGTACCTACCAGTCGTTTCAGTTGTCTTAGTGATTTGTGATTGGTTGGTAATTTTTTGTTTCATCTAATTCATGATTGATAAACAAGGATGAAGTTATTTCAAATAAGTAATCAAAATACTATAGATGCCTAAGTAAAATATTGATAAATTATTTTTTTTACTAATTACGCTAGCCTGTTGTAAAATATGTACTTAATTTTTGTAATGATATAAGTACCTAAATAAATGAGCTCTGTTAATTATTATAAAATGTTGATTGTTTTTTAAATCAATTCAATCACACTACCACATTTTCATAATTACATTTTTGCTCTACACTTTCAAGTGGTTTGATAGTGATCCATTCCTATCAACAATAATTGGTTTAACGATCTTTGATGAAAATTCTGCAAGTACTTTTTAGTTATATAATTTATATAATACAATAACATTGAATTAAAGTCCATATAGCTTAAATAATATTTGTATTTGTACTAGTTTTTTTTTTTGTTTAACAAAAACCGCCAAGAGGCACAACACTGGAACATCGAATAATATAATGTTGACAGAATAATGCAGAAGATTTTGAACCAGAACGAAATGCCATCAAGTCATCAGTCATAATCTAGGAGGCAGTGACGATTTTCGATACTTATTTTTCCTAAAAAATTTCACTGCCTCCTGGACTCATCAGCTCTTATGATAGTATTAATCCAATTTATTTTTCTCAGTAAATCAAAACATTTTTAAAAATGGAATTAAAAATTTATTGCTAAACGATACAATTGCTACACTCTTAAAACTAGAATTCAGCCTAAAATTACAATTGGATGCTTGTCACGGTTTATACCATAAATGCTTCACAACAATACAAATTAAAACACGATCTATATTATCTATAGGGTTTGCCAATAATTCTCAAAAATCATAAGACAATATCAAATGTATAATATACACTTCTACATAGTAAAGTCTTAGTGAATTTCCAAAATACTTAATAGGTTAGGGGAGGAAATAGTCGAAATCTTCACCGTTAAGAGGTCAAGATAATAGCCAGAATGATCTCTAGAGTGTAGATTTAAATTCTCTGGATCAATGATTCGTAACAAATTACCAGAGTGGCAACATTAAATAATCTTCAAAAAATTTTAGTTTTACATATTTCGCATAATAGGCTCATTTTGTAAATAAATGTCATAAGAGAAATTGAAGGCAAAACTTATAGTAATTACACAAAAATCTACAAACTTATACACCATCCCATACAGAGGTCACCTACCTACCTAACAAAAAAAACTCTGAAATTAAAAAGCTTAAAATCTAATCTACACAGCCTTATTATTATACTTAAGAGGAATTTACGCTTGCGCACTCAGTCTTTGACAAATGTTATTTACCCTAACCTTAAGACTATTATGTACGTCAGCAGCCAGATCATCTACGCAAACGAATCTGCACTTTTGAAAATTGAAAATATCACATAAAAAACCAAGAACTTGTTCTTTAAAATAAACACAAGTCTCTTTCAAAGAATCGTCGGATCCCAAAAATCCCCATGCTAAAAGTGGAGACAGTTGCTCAGAAATTGTATAGAAATGCGCCATAAAACCGTTTGGAAATTTTAGTCGTCGTCTTTTGGCTTTGAGCGCGGACCATACCACTGTGGTCAAGGCCGTTTCTTTGAACCCGTTGGATAACCAGCGATTTTGAATGACGGCCAAGACAGACGATGGGGGGCTTTCTAAGTCTTCGAATGCATCCATTAGAATGTAGTCCAGAACAACGTCATAGAAAGTGAGCGCTTTGACTCCTCTAGTACTTAGTTCTTCTTCCAAGTCACGCCATTGGTCGGGGTCTTGAATGTAGAGTATCATTTCTTCATAACCTGCAGACACAATAAATTTATTTAATAATATGTAACGAATACTATCCAAAAACTTACCTATCAAAAAGTCTTTAGGGTCCTTATCGGCATGCAACATCAAGTCGGCCAATATCTGACGTCCAGCGTCGATAAACCAAACATAATTGGTAGGATCCCTGAGTAAATGCTGGAAAGCCAGTCGCAAACAATGAAGTTTCGACAGATATTCGACATCCGAGCCGCATTGACTACTTCGGTCCTTAAAGTTCTACAAGGGATGCCTCCGTTTTCTAGTTGTCTCAGGGCGACTTGGTATAGGGGATATGATTCCAAATCGGGGAAGTAGTCGGAGAATTCTTCAAATTCTTTTAGATCAGCAACCTATAAGAAAGGCACAGTAGGATTTTTCAAGTTGGTAAAACATCCGCCGTGGGGTAAATATTTAGTTTAAACTAAAAGTAAGACGTATATAGGATGCTTAATGATGTTTTGTTACAAGTGTATACAGGGTGTTTCACGAACATCGAAACAGAGGCGTTTTGGGGTATTTCAAGGACGATTAAAAAAAAACGCTCGGATACGTCAATTTTGTATTCGCAAGGGGGAAACTTTTTGACCCCATCGGTATTTCGCTAGGGTACGGTTGATTTTCAGCCCTCTTTTTTAGATAGGAAAGATGGGTCGAGTGGTACCGGGTGATTGTCTATATTTTGCACCCACACCTATCTCACCTGTTTGAAGAGATACTAAGAAATGTCAATGGTGAAAGTTGTAGGTAATATCAGAAAGTTTTCAATGAAGTTAGTTACAAGTATACAGGATGTGTCACAAAAGTGTAGCAAAGCAAAGTTAAACTTTTTTAAACGGATACCCCGTATATTATTGACCTATCGGATTAGCCTTTCCGGCCTGATTCCAAATATACTAGGTTTTTTAGGTTTATTCCTAATAGTCCGGGAGAAAATAAGAAAAAAAGGGGTGGAATAATTGCATTTTTATTGAAAAAGGTCAAGTATAGAGACCACCAGCAAAATATGAAGGTAATTATTCAAGTAAAATCTCCATATCTCTTCAAAATTGGATTTTCAGAGGCCGGACTATGAGGAATAAACCTAAAAAACCTAGTATATTATTTGGAATCAAGCTTGAAAGGCTAATCCGATAGGTCCATAATATACGGAGTGTTCCGTTTAAAAAAGTTTAACTTTGCTTTGCTACACTTTTGTGATACACCCTGTATACTTGTAACCAACTTCATTGGCCGTTTTCAATTCGCAATCAGGTTCGGCCTGGTTGATTCAGAGATGACAGAAGTTAGTTGAGACCTTTTGAATGTGGTCTGTCAAGCAAGACGCCATGTTTTAAGGTTATGAAAGCAAACCGAAATTTAAACCAAAATTCGAACCAACTCGTGAAACTGGTTGGAATTTAGACGGACCAAGCGATGCCTGTCACGTCACCGATTTGTAATCGAAAACGGTTGGTTCTAATTTGGTTGGCTTTGAAGACGTACGGACCAAAGTGAATCGAAAACAGCCATTGCAAAGTTTCTGATATTACCTACAACTTTCACATTTGACATTTCTGGCTATCTCTTCAAACAGGTGGGATAGGTGTGGGTGCAAAATATAGTTAATCTTCCGGTACCTTGTTTTAAACGTATTTTGATTCTCGTTACAACTGTGTACTTTTTTGAAAAGCAAATGATTAGTTTTCAAGATATTTACTGTCAAAGTTGTCATAGGCTAAATAAAAAACAATCTTCTGGCCCTATTATTCTCAAATTACCACTTTCCTGACTTTCCTTTCGGATACGTCAAGCACACAAAAAAAGAAAATTGACGTGTCCCAGAGGAAAGTGGAAAGTCAAAAGTGTTAACTTGAGAATAACAGTGGCAGAAGATTGTTTCCTATTTAGCCCATGGCAACTTTGACAGTGAATATCTTGAGAAGTAATCATTCGATTTTCAAAAAAAGTACACAGTCGTGAGGAGAATCAAAATACCTTTGAAACAAGGTACCACTCGACTCATCTTCCCTATCTAAAAAAGAGGGGTGAAACTCACCCCACCTAGGGGGTGCACCCTAGTGAAATACCGATGGGGTCAAAAAGTTTCTCCTTTGAATACAAAAATGACGTATGTGAGCGTTTTTTTTTTTAATCGACCTTAAAATACCCTTAAACGCCTCTGTTTCGATGTTCGTGAAGTTTCTCTAAGGGATGAAGTTATTTGTGAGTTTTTATTTTAATTCTTGTTCATAACTTCTTTGGAAAGTAAATATATGCATCCAGACCTTCAAGGCTGTTTCCAATAGAGTTGGATAGATACATAATCAAAAAAGCATCTCCCTGAAGCTTATCGCGACACTGTGTAGTGAGAATCAATAGAATCATTGCAATTGGCACCACACTATAAAAACGGCTCCGGTTCAAAAGAGCGACATTTAAAATAGCGACCTCAAAGGAGCGATATATCAAAATAGCGATATTCAAAACAGCGCCATATCAAAACAGCGACATTCCAAACAGCGACATCTAAAAAAATAGCGACATATCAAAAGAGCGACATTCAAAAGCGCGATACTTTAAAACAGCGACATATCAGAAGAGCGGGATTCAAAATGGCGACCTCTAAATAAAAGAGCGACACATCAAATTGAATCAATAATAATCAAGAAAATGCCGACTTACTCAAACTTACTCGTCCGCCTAGTGCTATCTAATTCTCGTAAATAAGCATTTTATTTGAAAAACAAAGTTAATTTAGTTAAATTGAGCGTCTCTTGAGCACACGAATCAATATTAATCATGAAAATGCAGACTTACTCAAACTAACCTAAACCATAGACTTAAATACTACGAATAGACGTCCAGTCAAATGGTAAAAATCTGCGACGCTATTTGGAGGGTCGCTATCGAAAGCGAGCCTCCAAATTCAATTCGGGCTTTGGTATTTTATATGCTGGATACGAGATGGCGCGCATTTCTGTCATAATTCAAATTCGCGCGTTACCCTGTTGCCAATAGTTCTAAAATAACTAGTCCAAAATCATTAAATAGGCCAAACCATACATTAAGACACCAATTTTTTTTATTACTGCATCTTATACTAAATATTATACGCAAATTAATAAATTGTTAATGTTAAGATTTTTTTTTAATATAAATAAATTTCACTTATTTTGTAAATTGTTAAGTTTTCTATTTCTAGTGAAAGCTGAAATGGATTTTTTTTTTAAATGGATTTTGAAAATTAGTTCTTTGAAATCCAAGCAATAATTTATTTCTTCGAAAGTCGCAAATAGCAAAGAGAATTCTTGCCTAGTTTTTTGTCCGTATAAATTTGACAACACCGAAACATCAGAAAAAAGGCGGAATGCGGTTGTCCTGGAAACAATGACACGCTGCTCGTACACAAGGGTGCTAGCACAGTTTTCTTTGAATTTTTAATACGGGTGGCGCCATCTTATGATTTATTGAGGCATTTTTTGTGCTGCTATTTCCACTGGACGTCTATTCGTAGTATTTAAGTCTATGCCTAAACTAACCCGTCCGCCTAGTGCGATCCAGTCCTCGTAAGCTAGCATTTTATTTGGAAAACAAAGTTAATTTAGTTACATTGAGCGTCTCTTGAGCACACGGATCAATATTAATTATGAAAATGCAGATTTACTCAAACTAACCCGTCCGCCTAGTGCGATCTAGTCCTCGTAAGTTAGCATTTTATTTGAAAAACAAAGTTAATTTAGTTATAGCGTAGCGTCTCTTGAGCACACTTTGTTTTTCAAATGAAATGGTAACTTCCGAGGACTAGATCGCACTAGACGGATGAGTTATTTTGGGTTAGTGTGAGCAAGTCTGCATTTTCTTGATTATTTTTGGTTTCAATTTGATGTCATAATGCAGACCTACTCAAACTAACCCAGAATCAAATTGAAACCAAAAATAATCAAGAAAATGCAGACTTGCTCAAACTAACCCAAAATAACTCATCCGTCTAGTGCGATCTAGCCCTCGTGAACATTTTATTTACAGAAAACAAAGTTAATTTACTTATAGCGTAGCGTCTTCTGATCGCGTTTCGTTTTTTAAATAAAATGCTAACTTACGAGTACTAGATCGCACTAGGCGGACGGGTTAGTTTGAATAAGTCTGCATTTTCTTGATTATTATTGATTTGAATTGATGTGTTGCTCTTTTGTTTGGATGTCGCTTTTTTGATATGTCGTTTTTTCGATATGTCTCTTCTTTGCTTAGATGTCGCCGTTTCAAATGTGTCGCTTTTAATATGTCTCTTTTTTGATGGATTATATTAGATTGTGTTAAGGGCGTTTAGGTGATAGACCTCTCTGCACCTCTTTTGATAAGTCCTTAATTTATCGCTCTTTTTAAATGTCGCTGTTTTGAATGTCGCTGTTTTGATATGTCGCTGTTTTGAATTGTCGCTCTTATTAAATGTCGCTGTTTGGAATGTCGCTGTTTTGATATGTCGCTCTTTTGATATGTCGCTGTTTTGAATGTCGCTTAAATGAGACCGCCGTTTTGAATATCGCGGTTTTGCATATCGCCCTTTTGAACCGGAGCCATAAAAACATCCCCCGTATGTGTCAAAATTTTACTACTTTGACACACGGTAATGTCAAAATCCCACTGTACACCAAACTAAACTAGCATTGGCCATATTGCCTAGATCTAGAAATTTTCCTTAAAGAGCTATCAACAGCCATAGACGAAGGCTGGACAGCAGCAACTATTTTATGGATGACTTTAATGCTAGATTAGGTCACAAGGAAAACTTCGAATCGCACTTGTCAACTTCGGATACGGATCCAGAAATGCAAGGGGAGAGAGGCTCTATGAATACCTCAACAGAATGTGTGAACTTAACAGACCCTAGGAAAAATCGACCTAGATATCACCAGAAGGTATGACAAAAAAGAAAATAAATAGAATAGTAACTAAATAGATCTTCAAGGCGTCTTAAGGCGTTTCCGATTGGTAGTTTCAATATGCACTGAGTGTATTTGCATCCTTTTAATCAACCTGTAGAAGAAAAAGACAGAGATAGAAAAAATTGCACTAGTTCCGCACTAGATCTACCAATCGGAAAAGCCATTAGTTATTTAGCGATTAGAGCTAAAATCAAACTCGAGGTTTGAACCATAGACCACAAACCCGAACAAAATTGTTTGAAAACAGGGTGATACTTAACTCCCATCTAATAAAATTGGAAAAAAATTCAAAGTTCACTGTAGAAAGGCATGAAAAAGATTCAGAAGTAGGTGACATATAAGCTTTGTTCCAACCCAGCAGGAAACCGTGATATTACAGTCAGGATTCTGCGCAAAACCTAAAATTTTTGCGTAGAAACCGAAATACAAAGTGGTTCCGAAACCGTTCTGGGACGGTTTTTACACGCGTTGAAAGAAACCTATAATCAACAATGATTATTGTCGATCCACAATGAACAACTCAATGTAGAGGCTGGGTTCGGTAATTGCATCTGCGAGCAAAATTTGATAGATGCCACGTGATTTAAGACGTGAAAAAGATAAGTGATCACGTGACGTCCGTCAAAATTTGCTCTTTTTGCTCGCCGATGCAATTACCGAACCCAGCCCCTGTATGTACAGTTGTTTATATCCAAATAGATATTGTTTATTTCAGGCCAGTTTTTATTTATGTTTTTGCGTAGGTACCTATTTGGTCCTAGGATTGAACGTTTACGTTAAAATTAACACAAACCTGTTATGTTATACTAACAGGGAATAGATAACATATAAAATAACAGTAGATATTATATCGGTATGATTGACGAAATCGATAACAGAAAATGTTAAGCTGGCTGTTAGGAATAGAAGAGAAAGTATTTGTACCTAGCTTCACTTTGGTTTCAAAAGTGACGTTTTTCTTGAAACAACAATAACAAACAATTAAATTACATTTTTTTGCAACTCATTTTACATTTTATTCAATTTATTAGGGCGAAAAGATTATCTAAAATAACTGTGAAACAGTATGGGTACCTAGCATTTTCAAATCATATAATTGCCCTGGATGTTGGACCCCAAAAAACATCAGAGCTGTTTTCTCTCGTTCACTTTTTCGAAACTGGTTCAAAACAGGTTTGAAATAGTATAGTAGGTCTGTTTCTACAGAAATCACAAACCAGTCAGAGCGAATTTCATTGGTTGAAAACAGTCAGAAAACTAGTTTCAACCAATGAAATTCACTCTGACTGGTTTGTGATTTCTGCAGAAACAGACCTATTATTATTCTCGCGATGAATCCATGACGTCACATAAAATTGTTTCAAACCGTTCCGAAATACAATGCAATCCATGTTTCTGAACCATTTTCTCGGGCCGAGAAGCTATAACATCATTGGGAAACTGTTTCAAACCAGTTTTGAAAAATGTTTGAAAAACTTCGAGACGCGAGAAAATACCTCTGATGAGTGGACATCATTTGTACACGAAAATAAAAACACTACTAAGAACCGCTGCCTCATAAAAAATGAAAAACAGTTCCAACTATACTAAGAATTCAGAATAATAAAATTTAGAGCTTCAGTTCAACTGGAATGGATGAAATCCTTGATGGTCTTTGAGGAATATCAAAATGGGGCATGATTCTTGCAATTATAAACTGCAGCAATTCCTTTGGAACTTTTGCAAGTCTAGTATATTTAGTAATAAAACCTTATTACCCTATCATTCAAAATAGGATCTCTAAAAAAATTAAAAAAACATTGGTAACATGAACGTTAAGCACTTAACGGCATGTTATTCGAGGCTGTTGAGGAGATATGTTAAATACGAACATAACAGGCAGAAAATAATAGTAATCTGTTATGAAAAACTTTCCAACATACGAACTTGCATCGTTAGTGTTAAAACTCAGCCTAATTGGCAGATCCAGTGTCCAAAGACCAAAGTTAAAGCCGAACTTCAAGTAATATTCACTTCAAAATTAAGTACTGTCTGATCGTTAGAAAACTTTAATAGCACTTAAATTCCCAAAAACTTGGAATTTTTCAATACTTTTTAACGTAGTAGCAGTGGTTTTAGCGGGAGCAAGTTAACCCGTAACTGGTGAAGTGGGGTTTCTCAAACCCCACAGATTTTAAGAATCTTTACCACGTATCAACTAATGGTTGGAGGCCCGCTACCTCCTGTGTAGCTTTCGGTCCGTTGTCCATCAGTAACTTAAGGGTATCAACAACGCGCGATATTTTACTTGAAATTGGGGTTTGCGTAACCCGTGAGTCGTTTGGGTTAGTTTGGGTTAATTGCTCTCCAAAAAGTTTACTTGAAATACAATTTTGGTGAAACTTTGAATGTTTTTCAAAGATTTTTAAAAACTTTTCTGCCATTTTGTAGTTTTTATGCTACATTTTCAGTTTGATTACTTCCAGCAACTAGAAATAAGTTTTGATGTGTGTTTTGTGCAGTCCCACAGTAAAATTCAATTATTCCTAAAATATTTGTTTTTTGTTTGTTGAAAGTATGTACCTACGTGTTCCAAAAGGACAAATGTTACCCAAAAGTGAATAACATACACGTTTTTTTATTTTGAATTAGCAGAATTAATCGCTTTTTTTATTTGGGGTTTAGCAAACCCCACCTCACCAGTTATGTAACAAAAAAATCACCTCACCAGTTACAGGTTAAACAAGCTAACAGGATCGACAGTGTAGTGAATAAAAGAAGTATAAATTATTACTTTCAAGTCCCTAATTAGTAGGGACCTATAGTGTACCACATAGAACAAAACAATTAAAAACAATTAAAGGTAAAATACAAGGAACTCTTCTATCTGCTACATTCTCCCACCTCCTACTAAAGTGATCCATTTACACGGCGTACAAGTGAAGAAGTAGCTGTTTTAATTTCTACGCTTCTAATTTGCCCGTCTTTTCCAGGAAATATTTTTGCCACTTTAGCTAATTTCCATTTATTTCTTGCTTCTGTGCATGGTAAAGCTACAATATCATCCACTTTTGGAGGTGTACACTTAGCACACCATTTTTGTCAAAGTCGGTAAATATTGCTTTGTCCATTTTTTCCAGAAATTGTCTGCCATAATTTGTGCAATTTTCTATTGTTTTCTTCCAAACATATTTTCTGGTTTAAAAATACTTGGCATGTTGTCTGTACTAGCTGTTCCAATTGAAAAATGCATAGGAGCTAAAGCACTCAAGTCTTCTTCATGAGATGAAACATAGCTTATTGGTCGAGAATTTACTATACTTTCTGCTTTCAAACAAAATGTGTTAAGGAGTTCGTCAGATGGTCTTTTTTCATTTAATATACAATATAGGACTTGTTTTACTGACCCAAACTCCTCCCATACTAAGAGCGCCTCTGGTGGATTAGAATGCCATCTTATATTTAAAAATATCATTTCTCTTTTTATTTTGTTTTCGTCAATTTCATCCATATATTTTTTCATTTCTCTTTCAGCCCCAATAAAATTTGTACCATTGTCTGAGTAAATCTCTAGTGGTTTTCCTCGTCTTGCAATGAATTTTCCTAATGCCAACAGTGTAGAATCTGTGCTTAATGAAATTGCTATTTCGATATGAACAGCTCTTGAATTCCAACATGTGAATAACGCTCCAGATATTTTTTCTGTGCTTCTTTCCACTTTCACTTTTAATAGTCCAAAATAATCTAATCCACAATAACTAAATGGACTACAATAATTTTTTAACCGGCATTCTGGTAATGGTTCCATTTCTGGCTATAAAACTTTAGGTTTCTTCACCTTACAGAAACAAAAACCTTTGGCAGGACCTGTCCTCCTTTCTAATTGCAACCTGATGAAACATTTCACGTATATCGCCACAGAATGCATATTTTTGTTCTCTAAACCTTCACAAAATGCCAACCAATAAATGGTAAACCTCCGAACCTTTTAGTAAATAATCATTAAGACTAACTCCATTTATTTTTTGCGCAGCATCAAAGACAAAGCAGATCTTTCCAGGTTTGTTCGGATTTTTCACAGCAAAGTGTGGGAGGTACCAGTTTTTTCCATTTTCTATTGTATCTTTAATTGGTTCAGATATCCTTTCCGTTCATATTCTTTAATTTTTTCGCAATATTCGATGGCAAACTCTTTATCTAAATCCATCTTCTTTTCCATACATTTCAACCGACTCAAAGCAATTTGACGACTTGAAGGTAATACAATGTTATCTTTTTTCCAAGGTAAGCCTATTACATAACCTTTATCTGTCTTCTTTATTGTGTTATTAAATATTTCTAAAGCTCGTTAATTAAAGGTAAAATACAGGGAACTCTTCTATCTGCTACAAATCTAATTATTTTTATTGATGTTAAGTAAATTCAGGTTAGCAGCTCTGAATATAGTCAAAGGTCTCTTGTTCAGCAAATTCTGTAAAAGGAAGGTGTTACAACACACGTATTTTTTATACAGAGATTAGTATTTCTATCCCAGTTTATATATCTAAAAACCATGTTTTATATTCATTATGGGAATTTACAGCTCAGCACTACCTTTAAATAAACAATGCTAAGTTAAAGGTGGGTGCCAAATATGGTAAATATGCAAGTAGGCAGTCGTCCTTGTGAATCTATTCGAGTGCTCTTAAAATAATTTAAATATTAACGGTATTATTTTTAGGTACCCATCTCATATTAGAATCACTGAGGTTCGTCATTCAACATTCAATAAAATAAGAAATAGTAAAGTCAAACGTGTCGATTTGGTCGACAAATTATAAATTATTGTTGACTACGTCATGGTTTATTTTTCGCTTTTTAATTAGTTTGAAAAATATGCAAATGTTTTGAATATTAATTTGAGGTGTTAAAAATATCAGTTTGGAGATATCCTTCAAGCTATATGCCTTCAAGAAAATAATTGATTATAATGATGTTCTGATTAATGTTTTCAAGGACAATTTTTTTTACCTGATCTTGGGCAGATGCAAAGCTTTCTCCTCCTGATAAGTCAGTGTCCATTCCATTTGCATCGCGTCCACTTTCGGGTCTGAACAGTACCGACCTCACGTCTAGGAATAGCATTTCAGAATTTTCCTAAAATCGCGAAAAATGTTGTTAGTATTGTTGTCTTCAACCACACAATTTTCTGAAACGCTCTATATTATGTCCTATAGAATGTCGAGGTTTGCACAACTTCAAAAGCTCGATGCCATTCATTCATATTTACAAATTGATTATTGTGAAGTAGAAATGGAACTTCAACCTACTTGCAATTCTATTGCCGAATCCAAAAGAAGCTGCAAATCCTTGCAAAATCCCGTCTCTTCAGGACTAAGCACGGTCAGCGGCCCTCCGCCGCCATCCTTTGATCTGTAGATTGCCAAAGCCTCCTCCCAGTAGGTTATGCAAGTTTCTAGAGCTTCCATACCTAGAACAAAACGATTATATTGAAAATTAAAGAAGTAATCGTATCGTATATTAGCAAAGAATTACTCAATTGAAGAAGCATTAGGGCCTTATGTAACTATGGGTGCTTTTCGAAGGCAGTTGGTATATACAATCTTCTAATTGTACATATTTCAGGTATTTCTTCGGATCCAGCATTTATGACGAGGTGTGTGTATGTCTTCTCATGTCGGCTGGCAAACTCAATAGCACACGAAGATTAGCGATGCATATCAAATCTTATGACATCATAGATCTTTCTGTTTCAAAGGAAATAAAAATGAAACTCACTTTGCTTAAACTTCGTTTACTGTGGTTAAACGACTTGATTTAAAATGTCAATAATTGTACGAGGTTCGACTCTGATCTTGATGTCAAATCCGGTTAAACTTAAAAGTATGGGATTGCGGAAGCTCAATAAAACCAATTGCATGGGACATTTCCTATCGCGTTACTTTCTAGGAATACAGAGGGAAAATATCCTTAATTAGTCATATTTATACTAAGTAGGTACTCATGTCAGAATGAGAGACGTTACAATTATGTTTTTCCTAAAAGGAATTACCGCGTAAATGTTACAATTAGTCGGGATGTGATGAGAATCGGTGTAAGTCATCGCAGTAATTAAAGCAATCCAACCGATGATAATATGTCATTACACGGCGCCAAAGAAGTGCTGCATCGATCACTGTTTATTTAGTTGGTTAATATGTCCGTGCCGTCGACTCAGGCTATAAAGATTTAATTATTTACACATTTGAATAGTCTACTGCTATAAATCTGCTTTAAAGGGTTCAAATCTGACACAACTAGAGCCACTCATACTACTTTACGTACTAGCTACATAATTTTACTACCTATCTGTTTATGATAATTGGAATTCAATAATGAGAGAATGAGGCCAGAAAAGTGTAAACATGTCAAATACCAAGGTACAAATAATATAATAGTTTTCAATAAAAGCACAAGGTTTTAGTCATTCATTTCGTCAATTTATCGCCAAAGTCAGAGGAAATGAGTTTTACATTAAGTACATTAAAACTTCGTGATTCATCCTATTCTCCTTCGCATGTTCTCTGAAACCCGAATATACAGTCTCGTGGATGGTTGGCCTTTCGGTTCAAGCCATGACATCATCGTCACCGTTTCACATTGCAAACTTACGAGAAAAAAGAACCAAAAAGGACGAGAACTCAATTATTGTGTTTACTCATAGTCTGACGTTACTGGACCCGATGGTTTGGTTTATAATATTTTATCTACAAGCGTTTGGTTATGACGACATAACCATTTTTCTGGTATTTGAGTTATGTCATGAGATTCATAACACAACTAGTGGTGTTATGGACTAGGTTATGAATTCATAACACAACTAGTGGTGTTATAGACTAGTTTATGAATCCATAACACAACTACTTTTGGTGATTTGACAAATGTCAACGTTAAACCTGTAAAGGTAAAATGAAGGTAGACAACTACTAATAAACGAAAATAATTGAAAAATCATCACGCGCGTTTAAACATGACTACAAAACTCGTATGATTAGAACGACTCGGTCTACGACCTCGTCGTTTTAAACTTTCACACTCGTTATTGTAATCATGTTCATAAACGCACTTGTAATGTAAATAACTATTATCCCATTTTGACGTTTAAAAGTGACATTATTGAACGCATAAGAATAAAGGTAAGTAGACGTTTATCACCTCAGTGATTTAAAAACATTTTAACTCAATCTCGGCATTTTAAGTCAATCTGCCCAACTAAAAATCTGAAACCTCAGTGATTTAAAATATCTTTAACTCACTCCCGGCATTTTTCCTTGTACTTCATTTTTCAAATTTCCACAAAATGGGATAAAATTTTGTCTACATCGCGTGAGTTAAAATATTTATTCATTCGAACAAAATTAACCCACTCGCTAGGGCGCGTGGGTTAAACTTTCTTCTCATGAATAAATATTCATTTAACTCACTTGGTGTATAAATAACTATTAACTGTTTGCAGTAAAAAAAGAATTAAAAAAATAGTATATTATTTAACGAGCGTATAATGTAGGCTATTATATTACACGAGCCGCAGCCAAGAATGATAAAGTTTTTTTAACCCATTATACCTCGTCTGAAGTACTACTTTTTCAAGGAAACTGATGAAAAGTCATCAAGTAAAATAAGAGTAACTAATGTAGATTGAGATAACTATGCGATGCACTATACCCTTTTTTTTTAGGGGTTCATACTTCTGACCACAGCATATACAAAAACAATCAGCAGGCTAACTCTCACGCGCATCTTTTCTGTGCACGCCGCCATTAGGGGATTCCATTTTGTCAAAACTCTGTAAAATTTTATTTTATTTGTTTATTTCTGACGGAGGTCATAGGCGTGCGGTGTAGAGCGGAATTTTAGCTATGATTTTCAAAACGATTTTGATATATTCGTGTTGTCATTTATGGTGTTATCTGTTATCATTCTTGTATATTCAATAATAATAATAAATTAGTAATTATAAACATTTTTATATGTAAGTAATAATAAATTAGTTTATTTAAAGCCAATACGACTCTGTCACAGGAAAGAAAAAACCTAAATTATCGTTAATCAGACCCTGTTTCGTATCCCAAAATGGCCGCCAGTGACATTTTGACGATGAATTCCTTTATTACACGGGCTGTCACTCAAGTTAGCCTGCTGATTGTTTTTGTATATGCTGTGCTTCTGACATCGAAGATCATAGCTTGAAAAAAAAGGGTTGTAGCACAGCATTTGTAGATTTAAGCTTAATTTTCATGCATCCGTTTTTCCGACGAAAGATGTCCGAAAAACATTCTATTCTGACATAATCGTATAAAAATATGTTAAAATAGAAGATTTTTCGGACATATTTCGTCGGAAAACGGGTGCATGAAAATCCGGCCTTATTCATATGACACATTCAATTTTTTTGACAAATTGAAATGAATGATTTCTGGTTTAAGAATCGAGGAACGTTTTTGACTTCATCGAATTGTTTCAGTCAATTTCTATTTGTTAAAAAAGGAAGGCAAATTATGTCAAAAGTATTAACCTTCGTGAAACAAAGTTTACCTACTTTTGGCCATATTTTGTTAAATAATCGAGCTGTTTCTGCTTGATTAATATGCAAATAAGCCTTAAATATGACATAATATACAGGGTATTCGATTGAAAGTTACATTACGTCATGGACGCAGTGTATTTTTTGATTATTTCCTGGATTAATGTAACTAGACTAGGAAGAGGTACAGAATTTTCCATGAAATACACTAAGCATAAAGTGTGTTTTTTCTTTAAAGATAATTCCCCAAGTCAAAAAGGACCCCGCACATTTCTTATGGAAAAGTGATCTATGTGGAATTTGGCTGAATTTTTGATATTGTGTAGAGGCAGTCGTCCTTAACAAAAGTTAACATTGCGCTAATGCTTAATACCGAACAGTTTTTAAGATATTAATTAAAAACTTTTTTAATATAATACTATTAAGTATGACGTCACCAATATGCTCGCAGCCCCAAAAATGATTACTATCCTTTCCACTTTCGACTTTGACTATACTCTTCTCATTTTAACATTAGGAAATAATAAAAAAACAACAACAGGTACAAATGAAATCGCTATATGACTGACATGACATGACGTTGACGATTGCGGCAGGGCAGGAGCTAGGTGTTGTTTACCCATCAGGATGATAATTGTACACAATACACTTGTTTACCTACTTATTTGTCACTAATCGCTATGGCTATCTTTTTCTATTTCTTAATGTCAAAAGGAGAAGAGTATAGTCAAAGCAAAACTGGAAAGGATAGTAATCAGAGTATTATATTAAAAAAGTTTTTAATTGGTATCTTAAAAACTGTTCGCTATTAAACATTAGCGCAATGATAACTTTTGTTAAGCAGGACTCCCTCTACACAATATCAAAAATTCAGCAAAATTCCACATAGATCACTTTTCCATAAGAAATGTGCGGGGTCCTTTAGTAACTATGTTGGCAACACAAGTCTTTTCTACATAAAAAATTTGAAAGCATTGACAATTTTACATTGTATTACCAACATAATGTCATTTTGACTTTTATCTTTAAAAAAAAAACAGACTTTACATGTCATTTGTGGTATGTCAAACAAAATATTGTCGATATACAGATTGCTAATCTCTAGAGCAGAAAAAACCTAGGACAAAAAAAAATCACCCAAAGTTACCAACTACTTTGAGTACCAGTTTTTCATTTCTACTGTGCATGTAATGAGGCATGGAAGTTATTTTTACAGCAACAGTCACTAATCTTTTTTCTTGCAACCATTAAAAGTGTAACGTACACCGTCACATTAATGTGTAATGGTTAGTCTGGGCGTAGCTAATTTATTATTCAGTTTTCTGACCCCCATGCAACACAAACAAAGTGACAATTTTTCTACATAAATATCCATGTGTCTTAATAAGGAAAGCTCGACTCTACTTGACAATAAGATTTATTAGTCTTGTTTGTTGATTTTTACATTTCCTAATTTATTATTATGGGCCAGCGTAGAGACATTAATAATAATTGGTTATCGATCAAGTTATAGATTGGTGCAGCTGAAATTAAAAATGGTACAGTGATTTCAATGCATACGTTTGATAACTAGGACATGAATTATAATAAAATTTAAATATTGGTTTATCTTCCAGCAAGGCGTAGAAGTGTCACATTTAAAAAAAAAAATAACCTACTTCGACATTAAAGTCAAAATTACAGGAGATTCCATTGATATAATTCTATTATATGTATTGAAAGTGCTGATGACTATATACAAGTACAAGATGTAGTTGCGGAAAAAGTAACTTTAGACTCTCAAGAGAAGAATATAGTTATTTAAGTATTAAGGGCGGTATTCTGCGAACAGTTGTACAACGGAACAGCCTAACGCCTGCGCAGTGTCCTATCTTTCGAACAACTGTTCTAAATTTTGAAATATCCTT